CAACTCTATTATTTTAATCAGTTTTAGGAGTTCTACATCATAATAAATTTAAGGGCCCTGAGTTCTCCCATTCACCTTCTCTGCCCAACAAACTCCTATTTGTATTTTAAGATCAAACCCAAATAAGATAAGCTGCTTTGTTTAACCACTCAAACCACCCACCACATTTTTTTCACCATAATAATACATGGAACAGCTCTGCTTAGTGGGATTTTTTTTCTTATTAATTGCCCACTGTTTGCCAATATGTCAGTGTGCTTTCTGGATGGTGAGACCCTAAACGGAGTGACTCTTTCTAGGTCATCTTTTATCACCTTTCTTCTAGCAGAGAGGAAACCAGGTGTAAGTTCATAGCCTTACCAAATTAACATATACAATGAGTAAAGTTATTTCCTAAACCTCTCCCCATGTACACTCTGGGCCTTATATTAATCACGGGTCTCCAACTTATTTTGTTTTGAATCCCACAAGAATTTTGAAAAACCATGTAAGCTATTTTTCATTTTGAGATGACAGCTACAAATTTTATCATGAGTTTCATATTTACAAAATACAACATTTGAGACATATTATTTGTAATGTATTTACTTCAAAACATTTTAGTTATAGATCAAGTATATTCATTTGTGGGAAAATTCAATTGGCAAATTTAAATCTCGTTAAACCACACAGATTACATTTTATTTTTCAGTTAAACACATGTTAATACCTGCTCCCATGACAACCATATAACTTCTGAAGTACATTATTTAAAGGAATAATGGATAAATTGGTGGGTGGATATATAGGAAATAGATATATATAGAGAGAAATAGATGATGATGATAGTAGATGGAAGGATGGATGATGGATAGATAGATAGATAGATAGATAATAGGCAGATTATCTTAGCCTTTCATGAAATCGTCTTCTGGACCACATAATGAACTTAGTATTTTTTAACCAAAGATATCTCCGTTTTGCTATTAAAGGACTTCCCATTAGGGGCTGCTCCCATGACAACCATATCGTTTCTGAAATACATTTTTAAAAAGAATAATGGATAAATTGGTGGGTAGATAGAAAATGAACAGATATGTATGTAGAGAAATATAGAAGTAGATTATGATAATGGATGGATAGATAGATAAATAGAGAGAGAGATAGATGATACATAGGCAGGTGATCTGAGTCTTTCATGAAATTGTCTCCTGGATCACGTAATAAACTTAGCATTTTTTTTTTTAACCAAATATCTCTCTGTTTTGCTATGAAAGGACTTCCCATCAGGGGCTATGTGTTGACAAGTGAAAACCAACCTAGACGTAAGTAAGAGAAATTTATTCAAAGGGTGGAACTCTCAGCATAACATCTATGTATCTCAAAGATCGATCAGAAAACATTTTTTATAAGGACAAGCAAACACAGCTGCAAGTAGATGGTATTTAGGGGTCCTGAGGTGAGCAAGTAGAAGAGTTGATTAGGAAATACTTTTTATGGGACAGATTACTGAGTGGGATTGTCCTCTTGTCCAAGGCTTGTTCAGTCTAAGACTAAGACTGGATCGAGTTCCAGGGGAAGTGGGGAAACGAGAGCCTGACCAAGTGTGGTCAAGTCCAGGTGGTAGGTATTGTGTCCACACTTTCTTTTCTATTTTAAAACAAGTGATTTCTTTTTTCTGTCTCAAGCAATTCTCTAGAAATATTTTAGATTGATGAGTGTACACTTTTCTTATGAGAATTGGTGCGGAGTAGAAGAGGGGTGGGATGGAGAAGAGGCAGAGCTCAGGTGGAAGAGGTTCCAGGCCAGGTGCACCTGGAAGCTGATGAGGATGGAAATGCCTCCCCTAATGCCATCCTTGCCTCTGTCTCCTGCGAAGTCCTTGCATTCCCAGGTGGAAGCTGCTGTCCTGGGGAAAGGTTAATGTGAGTATTGCCTGCCTTTCAGGTTTTTGACTTTGAGTTGACTCCAGAGGACATAAAAGCCATTGATGGCCTCAACAGAAATCTCCAACATGCTAAGTTACAATTGTAAGTGATACTAGCAGATTCTTTCACAGACTGTTTTCTGTGGCACACACAGAAACAGAGGAACACATCTTGCCCACATCAGGAAGACAGTCCTGAATTCAGGCACGGGATGAAACAGGAGATTCGCTGTAGCCCTCAGCCCATGTTTCCTTCAGGGCTCTATTTCTGACCCAACAGAAAATCTATCTGTAAGTAGCGCTGCCTATGTCTGCTCTATTGTGAATTCACTTTTTTTTATGCCCTCACTACCAGTGCCTGGGTCCTACACTTTGGACCCACTTACCCATTAGACTAGAAGGCACAAGCCTGTCTTAATTTATGTGAAAAAAGAAGAAAAATTAACACAATAATAACAAATATGTAATAATGACTCAAACCTGGTCTATCTTCATGTCCCCGCCCCAGCAGAAGTCTCCACGTGGTTCCTGCCTAGTGGAGACGTGGGAGCAGGACCACAGCCCTGCAGACCCCAGAGTCACAGAGTCATCAGCAACTTCTGCCTGGAAAAGCCACAGGCATTGCATTCCAATCTGTGAAAGCAGCCACATGGGCTGTGCTCAGCAAAGCCATGGGGACAGGACTGCCCAAATGCTTGAGAGCTGACCCCTAGCACCAGGTGCCCAGGATGCAGGACATAAAGTCCATGGAAATTATCTTGGAGCTTTAAGGTTTGATGTGTGCCTTGCTGGAATTCTGATTTCCGTGAGTCCTGTTTCCCTGTCCCTACTCCTGCCTTTTTTGATTACCTTCCTTTTTGAAAAAGGAATGTTTACCCACAGCTGATAACGGGGTTGTACTTTGAAAGTAAATAACTTGTTTTTAACTTCATAGGCTTATAACTGGCAGGAAGTTGCCTTGAGTCTGATAGGAATTTTTGTACTTTGGAATTTTAAGTTGGTGCTGGACCAAGTTACAGCTATTGGGAAATGTTGAGATGAAATGATTGATTACATTTTGCATGTGAGAAGACCATGAATTTGTGGCTTGGAGGCAGAATGCTATAGCTGGCATATGTGACCCTCCCAACCATATGCTGAATTCTCAATGTAGGAGGTGAGGCCTAGTGAAGTCATTATGGCCACAGGGGCAGATTTCTCATGAATGACTTGGTGCTCTCCCTATAGTAACAAGTGAATTCTGGCTTTATTACTTTTTTAATAGCTGCTTGTTAAGAAGAGCCTAGCACTTTACTTTCCTCTCTCACTCTGTGACCTCAGCACATGCTGGCTTCCTTTTCCCTTCTGCCATGAGTGGAAGCAGCCTGAAGCCCTCACCGGAGGCCTAATAGATGCCAGTGCCATGCCTCCTGTACGGCCAGCAGACTGTGAGCCAATAAAGCTCTTCTTTATAAACACTCAGCTTCAGCTGTTCCTTTACAGCAACACAAATGGACTGAGACAGTCTAATTTCTCCACACACCTAGAACCAGCATGTCCTGAGTGGGTGATCTTAGTCCCTGATAATCACAGACATACCGTTTGTGACAAAGCTTTCCAAATTGGAGACAACCTGTAGGGTATCAATCCCACCCCAGGTCCTGGCTTGCTTCAGGATTCCTTAATTAGGGATGGATATGTTTCTTCTCATATCTCCATGAACCAGTATTTTCTATAGTTGAAGACCAGCCTGGAGCCGAATGTATAAACAGCTCAAGTCAGCTCCCTCATTGTTTGCGTCACAGCAAGGTGAGGAAGAGTATGCATGGAATACAGGACATCCATTAGGACGTCAGCTAGTATTACCGTGCCCTATGGTTAAGGTCAGTGGGAAACTACAACAGCCCAATCCAGGCAGGACTACAGGTGACCTGCCCTTCAAGAATAAAGGTTTGGGTCACTCCACCCGGGGGCGGGGGGGAAAGACCTGCTGAGTGCTTGCATTATCAGGTATACAAGGATAGATCCGACATGCAAGAACATAACCAATTAGAAGAAGGTAGTCATCAGTACCAGCTATGACCGTGTGACCAGCTGCAGAAACGAGGACTTGTCATGAGTATTCCCTCTTCTTCTGTTAGAAACGTATTTGTGCATGTGTACACTTGTACCAAGAAAATATCTTCATTTTATTTCCTTTCTCCTTTATCATGTGACATAAGATTTCTTGACTTCACATCAGCGTTTAAGTATTGTTAACTTTATATAACTTTACAGTATTTGGGGTGGGAATTGGTGCCTTGCCCATTGTAGGAAGGGTAATTGTATTATGTTAGGTGTAATTATGACCTTATTATTGTATTTATTTGAATATTATGTATGACCTCAGGAGATGTGTAGGAGTTTAAGTTGACAAAGGGTGGACCTGTGATGGTTAATTCTGAATGTCAACTTGACTGGATTGAAGGATACAAAGTATTGATCCTTGGTGTGTCTCTGAGGGTGTGGCCAAAAGAGACTCACACTTGAGTCAGTGGCTGGGAAAGGCAGACCCACCCTTACTCTGGGTGGGCACAATCTAATCAGCTGTCAGCATGGCTAGAGTATAAGCAGGCAGAAAAATGTGCAAGGAGAGACCGGCCTAGCCTTGCAGTCTACATCTTTCTCCTGTGCTGGGTGCTTCCTGCCCTCGAACGTCGTACGCCAGGGTCTTCAATTTTGGAACTTGGACTGGCTCTTCTTGCTTCTCAGCCTGCAGATGGCCTGTTGTAGGACCTTGTGATCATGGGGATTCATGCTCATATATGTATGTATGAGTCCATGCTATGTGTATTTTTCCTAAAAGAGCTAGACAGGCACTAACTGATCAACATCTGTCACTTCTCCTTCTCTAGAGGCTGAAAACTCTACTGCAGTCACACTACAGTCCACTACAGTAATGTCTATAAACGGTTATTATTCCCACACTCCTACTCCTAACTTATAGGCAAATTACTTTTTGGCCCTATTGAGCCAGAAGAAAACACACACACACACACACACACACACACACACACACACACACACACACTAACAGAGAACAGAGTAGGTAAAGAATCTTTGTGAAAACATTCAATTATTTCAAAATGATGAAAATTTATTGTCTTTCTAGCCTATGGACTTAGGTCTAGTTAATTGAAGTTGCTAAGCAGGATGGATTTAAGTAGGGGGGCCGTGTCTAGTCACTAGCATAGAGACGTCCTCTGCGTCAGCACCCACACACAGGGCTTCTGGTAGACATCAGGCAAAGCTCTCCATGTTAATATTCATCAGCAAATGGAAAATTAGGGTGGCCAGCAAAACTGGAAAGAGAAAGAATAATGTAAAATATGCATGCAAGGACTCCATTACTAACGAAGTAGTAAAATGATTTCTAGGAAGCTGCCACTGGTGTGAATATCGAGGTTTGTTTTCTGATTGATATCGAATCTGACTTCCTCACCATTATGAACATGGCTTTATAATATCTGTTTTTTCAAAATAATAAATTATTCAAACATATTCCCTTATCTGAAAGTCAGCACGTAAAACACAGTAAGTCAACTATTCAAACATATTCCTGTACATCTGCCAGCAGAGCAAAGTGATATTCTGACCTTTTCTATTTTGAATCTTCTGCCTTACTCTGAAGAGGAATAAGCAAGATGTATGCTCATCACTAAGAAATAATTTTGTAAATCCATTTTATTAGCGATTATAATTTCTTTTGTTGCTTTACTTATTACCTACTGCTGCACTATATTTTGTAAGATTCAGAAATATAAACTGTAATTGATATAGGATCTAATATCCAATGAGCTACAATGCATTAATATACTCTTATGTAGAAATAACATGAAATATAAAGGGACAGCTATGTGCTGGCTTATTATTACATTTTTATTTTTATTTTTTTTTGAGACAGAGTCTTGCTCTGTCATGCAGGCTGGAGTGCAGTGGCACATTCTTGGCTCACTGCAATCTCTGCTTCCCGGGTTCAAGTGATTCTTCTGCTTCAGCCTCCTGAGTAGCTGAGACTATAGGCACATGCCACCACACCCGTCTAATTTTTGCATTTTTAGTAGGGATGAGGTTTCAGCATATTGGCCAGGCTAGTCTTGAACTCCTGACCTCGTGACCCACTTGCCTCAGCTTCCCAAAGTGCTGGGATGACAGGCTTGAGACATTGCGCCCGGCCGACATTTTTAATTGATGAGAATTACTGATGCTTGCTATTCTTCCTTTCATTTTTGTGGTTTCCTTTTTAATTCTTTATTTTCCTCTAAGTTAACAGTGATATCCACCAATTTTTAAGCACACACCATCTCATCCTATCACTTGTTAAAATCTCCACTGCCAGCAGTTATATAACTTTCTGCTTTTCCCTCATTATTTGAGCTACCGTTTATGACTCCTAGAACCTTAGACCATGAAAGAATAATAAAGATCTTTTATTGGCTACAAATTATATACAACAAAGGGGCTTCTGTCTCCACACTCTTTCTTTCCTTTTCTTTTCTTTTTTAATTCTCTGCATTGAGATCTCCATATTGCAGGAAATCAAGGACAAGTGCTTCTATTCACTGCACTAAGGCAGCCTTTCCAGAGGCAAATGCAGAGTTTGGGGCATGAACAAACATGCAAGGAGAAGGAGAAAAAGCATTCGAATGATAAAAGATGCTGGATTGATAGGATCTAGCAAGTACTCTCCTATGAAGGACGTAGGAATTGGCACCTGGACCGCAGAGTTGTGGAAATGTTTTTGATTTGATAAGGAGCTGAGCAGGTCTGAACGAGATACAAGCACAGATTTGGAAACATCTGGTGAGGCCACATGGGGAGTATCCACAGCGTGTCCAGTGCTAGAAATGCCAGGTGCAGACTTGGCAGTGAGGTTGGCTGCTCTGCAAAGTTCCATGGAGTCAGGAGAGCAGAGGCACAGCTGACCCTGGCCCACTCATCCTGCCAGAGAACAGAGCTCTGGAGTGAATCCAGCAGAGAGTTCCAGAAAGCTCCTGTCTTCCCTCTGACTCACACTGGCCTCTGTCCCCCTGGTATGGCAGTCACTCTCAACACCCATTCTACATTCCTTCTCTGAAAATAAATTATGTCATCCATTTACAAAGAAAACTTACCCAGCACCATTAAAATATCGTAAATTTCTGTCTAGGCTATCTATAGCTTTCATGTCCTCCGGAGTCAACTGGAATTCAAAAACCTATCACAGAAATAAAAAACTTTTATTATTTTCAGATTGCATAATTGCCAATTGTGACTCCCCAAGCAGAGACAAGACTTAAAATATTAATAAGTTTTCAACAGTTCTAGAAGTCATCTCTAAACACTCGGGTGGTCAAGGATTATCACATGAAAAATAAGCAAAGATCCATTCCTAGGTATTATATATTGAAACTGCACCACAGTGCAGACAAAGTGAAAATCTCAACAGAAAAATGAAGAAGAAAAAGAGCTGACACTGTGCACACATGGTAGGATCATATACTTAGAAGACCCACCAGAATCTAGATGCAAATTTTAAAATAATATAAAAATTTAAAATAATATAAAATCATATAGTAAGTTTGTTGAATTTCTATATCTATTTAATGAACAGGTAAATGCAAATAACATTTGTTTTCAACATAATTCATGGTGGGAATTGTCTTAATACTAATGTTTCATGTTTAAAGGAAACAGATACAGGTTTGAAGAGTATCTCATTCTAAATTTGAGAGACTTTAAATATCAAAGAGATGCCACTAATTGTTAACATGTTGAATTAAATAAATCTACAAATTGAATAAATCACTCTTCAATAGTAATGCAGAGAATGAGAGAGAGAGGGAAAGAGAGAAAAAAAACATCAAGTTAATAATTAATGAATCTAGGTAAAAGGTGTTCATTATGTTTTTTAAACATTTCTATACATTAGAAAGTTCACAAAACAAAAAAGGTTATCAAGAGATTCTAAGAATTTTCAGTATTCTATGGATATTTAAAAATACATACGGTTTAAAGCAGAATGTTATACAATTAGTGAAATATATATTAAAAGGTCATTTAAATAGTTGGAAATTCATCATGGGTTGGAAATGTCAATATTGTCAAAACGTCAGTTATCTTCACATTTAGCAGCAGGTTTATTACAACAGCAACCAAAAACTAAAGTATGTACTTTTTAATGGATGTTGATGATTCAAAATTTCATATGACAGTCAAGAATAATCAAAATATTACCAAATAAAATGAAGAGTTAGAATAATAGGTGTACAATTTTGGTAGCAAGACCTTTCATTACTTAGACAGTACAGAAAAGTAAATAAGTCGATTGAAGACAAAAGAGAGGCAAGAATATAATTTGTGAATGTTTCATTTATGGCAGAGGTAAAAAAAATCAAGATATGTGTGCAAAGGCAAACTCTTTTCAATAATTGTTGGTGGGATCCTTTGATATAAATTTGAAAATTCCATATGTGTGTTTAGATTTTTATTTCAAACAGTGTTAAAAAAGAAATTTATTGAATTTACAACTAATTTATAAGTAAAGAGAATCACCAATTTTGCAAGAGAACATATTAAAAGATTGTCACGTTCCCAATATAAGAAAAGACATGCCACTCATCAACCACAGGAAAGAGGCATAAATAATGTAACTACATGACAAGTAGCAACCTTTGTTCTTGAAACATAGCTACAGAGAAAATCACAACACAGGCACAATTTCAGAGACGTTGCTTCAAGAATACATCTGAATATCTAAAGAATATATCATATATATATCTTGTTAAATTATATGTATCAATCTATCATATATATTAACCTATCACATATATATTAATCCATCATATATATTAATCATATATATATATAATAGATTAATAAGAAACACTCCCTCCAACACTCACATGTCCCTGTATCCACTTGCTTGTTTATATGAAGTTCCAGTTCCTTCCAATAAGAGCTGGTGTCTATTTACCCATCCCTTGAGTCTGGCCTGCCCTATAACTTGCATTAGTGGATAAGATTTGCCAGAAGCAATGGTGTGACAGCTCTGAGCCTAGACATGAAAATGCTTTGCTTGTGTTTACTCACTGCCTTGGGATTATGCCATGTGCTGAGGTAAAGTCTGGGCTGGATGGCTGGAGGATGAACTATATGGAGGAAAAGGTGGCACCCAGAGAAATGTCCCATTGACATCTTGAAGCAGAGCTGTCTCATTGTCCTGCAAACATGTGAGACAGCCCAGCCAAGAACAGAACTTGACTAAGTTCAGGCTGAGGCCATGCTAATTTTCTCACTAGAGAATCATGAGTAAATAAGTGGGTTTCATCTTAAACCTCGATGTTGACGGGGATTTGTTTAGCAACTCTATTTAATAGTATAATTATGGTCTCCTATATGTAAAAAAAGACATGGAACTAACAAAAATCGTCAAAGGCCTAGACAGGCAGAACACAAGTGGAAAACTCCAAGGGAATAAATATGTGACATTTTTACTGAGTGTACAAAGAAATGGAAATAAAAATCCTCCATGATTTCTAGACTAAAGAACACCCAATGCAGCTCCTCATTTCAGAATGTGAAGAAAAGGCCAGGAGTGGTGGCTCACCCTGAAATACCACTTTGGGAGGCCACAGCAGGTGGATCACCCGAGGTCAGGAGTTTGGAACCAGCCTGGGCAACATGGTGAAAAATGCTTTTTACTAAAAATTACAAAAATTAGCGGGGCATGGTGGCAGGCACCTGTAATCTCAGTTACATGAGAGGCCGAGGCAGGAGAATCATCCATCCTGGGCAAGAGAGAGTCTCCACCTCAAACAAAACCAAAATCAAACAAACAAACATCACAACACGAAAAAGCCATGTCCCTGGTGCAGGGATGTGGAGTAGATTACCAACTTAATGCTGAAATAACAATAATAATAAATCACTGGTCCCATCCTAATTCTCTCCACCTGTGCTGCCTCTCCTGTGGTAGAGTAGAAGAAACCCTTACAATGCACACAAAGCATTCATATAAGAAATGCCAGGGAAATAGAGCTGGCCCAAGCGTGTCCTGAGAGCCTTATAAGAAACACGTGTGAAGGACACAGTGCAGGAGCCCTGATGCCCACCCAGCTCCTCACCTGCATGTTCTCTCTGATCCGCTGCTCATTGTAGCTCTTGGCCAGGACCACAACCCCACGCTGCAGCTGGTAGCGCAGGGCAATCAGGGCTGGGGATCGCTTGTGCTTTTTTGCCAAGGCACAAAGAACTGGGTCCTCCAAGAGAACCGGGGAGTTCTGATCCACCCTGGAAGGAAAAGCAGAAATGCTGAAGCCCTGAGGCTGCGGATACAGTTTGGTAGGAGGCTAACTCAACAGATTACGGCTTCTGCTCTGCACAGGAGCCTCTCAAGTGAGGCCCCCAAGCACCACCATCAGCATCATCTGAGATGTTGACAGAAACGCAGTTCTCGCCTTTCCACGAGCCACTGAGAGTTAACTGCAGGAAACTGAGCATGCTCTGACTAAAAATTTTCTGAAATTTGGAGGTTTATATAAAGGTCCCATCATTCTTATTACCATTGTTTGTGTCGTTGAGACCCCAGAGCACTGTAGGCAACCAGAACAATGTCTTTTGACTTGCAGAAATCCAGCAGTTTTCTCTGGTTAATGTAAGGATGACATTCTACCTGCAGATGACCAAAATAGAAAAGCATCAGTTTATATGAATATGTTACTATAAAGAGATTAAAGTTAAAAAAGCTGAATAGTAATCAGTATAGCATCAAATTTGAGTTGAGGATATTATTGTCAAGTAATAATCTTTTTCACAGAAATAAATTTTATATTTCCATTTCCTAAAACTATAAATAAAAATGACATTTCTGAACAGAAGCTAGTCCGTAAACCAGGTCCTGGTAAACAAAGACCTTTCATAACTAGAAGGAGATGTAACAATTCCATATCTGGGATACAGTAAGATTCTTAGAGCCTTTGGCATCAAAATGTGCCAGAAAGCAAGAATTGGTCAAGGACTCACGAGGGCAAATCTGAAAGACAAGAGCATAGTTTCAAAGAAACGTCACTGATGATGTTTGGATAGATTTCAGCATCAAAAAAAAAAAAAAAAAAAAAAAAAATCTCCCAATAGGGTAGGAATGAGCACTAACGAAAATTATTAAATCAATTAAACATCATAGGGAAAAATGTCCAAGTCCATAGTAATGAGTGAGATAATGAGAGAGCAGGAAAGAACAAAATCATTTGCCTTCCCTGTTGGTGGTTATTACAGTAATTTCTTTCTCAGGACATTGATATTTAGAGGAAAGTATTAAAATTTTACTTTGTCTTTGAGGAATATTTGTTCTTTATTTTAATTTGGTGAAGGATTCTTTTTTTCACAGTAAAACGTCATGTAAGAATAGTTAAATAAATGTTTAAAATTGAAAATGATTATGTAAAAAGTCTGAAGAAATAACAAATCCAATATTAATAACCATAAAATACAAAACCATTACTGATGTGTATAATCATATGTGAGCATCTGTCATAGAATATGACTTCTTCTGTTGATAATTATCACCCAGTAGATCATTAGTAATTGCTGAATGGAAAACATGTGATTACAAAGAACAGATTAACTCACAACTAGTTTAACCAAGTGATCAAAGCTAACATCGCAAGTAGGGGCAATCTGTCATTTTATGCTGTCTAGTGTAGTGCGATTTGAGAGACATAGCATGCTAAGGATATGTTTTCTTGCCCAAAAGGTTTAGCTTGATGTATCAAAACACTTAGGTCTAACTTTTCACTTACAAAAACTTTTCAACAACTTGAAAAACAGTTTAACTGATATCAACATACAGCAATCTGAAACCAAAATTTCGTTCTGTTTTAAAAGGAAGCGCTATAAAAGACATTTCCATTAAACAATGGAAAATTCAAATATAGACTAGATGTCAAATGACATAAGGGCATGAGTTTTCTTAGATACAATGATTTTACTGTAACTGGAAGAATATCTTCGTTTCTGTGACATACTTTAATTAGTTCTGTAGAGGTGAGGTGAATCGCCATCTTTCCAATTTATTTTGAAGAGGTTTTGAAAATACCAAACACATTTATGCAGATTTACCCATGTATATATATATACATATATATGTATATATATGTGTGTGTGTGTATATATATGTGTGTGTATATATATATTTAGGGATATGTGTGTGTGTGTATATATATGTGTGTATATATATATTTAGGGATATGTGTGTGTGTGTATATACACACACTTGAGAGTTAACTGTATACACACACACACACATACACCCCTCAATATCTGGCAATGTGGCAAAGTGTTAACAATTTTGAACATAAATGGTAATGTTTGAAATTGTGTAGTATTTTTATCAAATTTTCTGAAAGTTTGGAAATTGTCATAATAAAAAATTGGAGTACTAATATTAAAACTGTATTTTCTTAATGTTTCTATTTGAATATGATGGAACTGTGCCATTATGCCAAATTCACAAATTTGTACATTTCATGTTTCAATTGTAGACCTTTACTCATCGACTCTAAGTTGTATAAAAGTAAGATCAAAAAAGAGGAAATAAGTGAAAAGGTAGAGTGACTTCAATGTTGAATTTTGTATAACATTTGGGGAAAGTCAATTTGATCAAGGAGGCCTGGAATCATTAATAGTAACTCAGGAGAAAAAAAAGGATTTATCCCTAAGCTATGAGAAAACCATGCACAGAACAGATATGTCTAAACAATTGATTGGATGACAGACCCCGAGGAGAAACTGCGGACTATGACATGAACAGGGGCAGGCCAGGTCTACGTTCTGCTAAATGTTCCTCACTGTTGATTTCATCCACTGTCAACAGTTACCTCCATAAACAGGTGATTTTTCTCTTTCTGACATGGATGACACTCATCGTCTGCAGCTAATTTTTGGTATATCTATGCCTCTAGTCAAGAATTGTTGAAATATCAAGAAGAAGCACTCAAATATTGAAATTCCATACAAACTCCTACCTCTTTTCTCTTATTCTCTCTGTTTATGTACAGCTCATTCCATCTTTATGGGTTCATATCTATACACCATTCCCTCCAAATCACCTTCACTCATGCACTCGGATCATCTTTCATAGCTTTCACCTTTCCCCGAGTTCTAATTGATTATTTCAGGCCTCGTTGATCAAATGGACTGCCCTTAAATATTACACATGATTCAACATGAAAGTCATTCCAAATTTTCCCTAATACCTTTCCAGGCAGAGTACAAGTAAGAAGTCTCCATGCCTTTCTTGACCAAAGCTTTGCTCTCTAGAATCTTCTGCTTCACAAAGCTAAGTGGGATAAAACACATATTTGGTAATAGGACAGGAAGAGGGGCATGAAGAACAGAAATAGAGGAGGCTGAGGGTGCTCACCTGGTTGCAGACGGGCTTGTACTTGAGCCCTGGCTTGTTGAGTATCATCTCCAGCTGCCTGCGGTTGAAGTTGGACACCCCGATGGACTTGGCCAACCCTGCGTCCTTACACTTCTCCATGGCCTGGGGAGAAAGAGGTTGTGAGGAGTCATTTGTGCAATTGGCTACACATCAAGATAAATGCAAGGCAGAATGGTGTAAGCAACAACTTTCAAAATTACAACAGATAACAGAAAAGGATAGTGACAGCAAGAGGAAGAATTTCTGTGTCCTCTTTAGGAAACTGGAGAGAGAAATGCACATGGAGGATGGGGAATACCTGTCTTCCTTGTCCCCAGTTTATCTCCTTCATTTCTCTCTATTCTTTTTCAGTCATGTGTTCTTCCCTACCACTCAGCAAAACCTCCTTTGTCAAGCTCCGTAGTTTCTAGATCCAGTGGTGCATGTTCCATTCTCACACATGGAAGCTGGGAAACAGGTTTACCCCTTCTTGTCTTCCTCTTCTGTGCTCCGCCCTCCAAGCACTCACCTCCCATGTGGCACAGAGATCCACTGTGTCGAATAATACTTTTCCATTTTCATCTTTTGGCATTAGGTCCTCACCTGGCTGAAGTAGAAATAGTCATTTGAATTATGTCACAGTTTAACTTCTCCAGCCACAGGCATGCTCCCAGGTACATTTTAGGATAATACTCCTCTATGAGGTAGGTGCTGCAATGTTCTAAAAATGATGTGGGCAAAATGTGTCACATGTGGAATTTTAAGGAATGTCTTTAGGAGACAGGCTTCCTTTTGTCTTTTACTTCCATTTTATATGTTAATACATAACCATTTTACAGGTTCTAACGGGGTTTCACAGTCGACTTTTGTTACTTTTGTCTGTTCCCCTAATTTTCTCTGGGGAAATGCCTCTCTTGGATTGAAAAAGCCCTTCATATCCAGCAATAAGGGACTATACTCTTGATCCAGGTGATACAATAAGAGCTCTTGTCCCCCTGAAGACTTGATAGTCCATGGGCAGCATCATAAACTAAACATGGTCAAATGAAGTTCTTTTCAATATTAATTTGAAAGTTGTAAGACCGAGGGAGGCTCTCTTATGTTAATGACCACGAACTTTGAGCTGCCTCAAAGCTATGATTGCCACCAATGATAAAGGTTGGGACAAAAATCCAGAAAAGCCCTTGGAATGCATAGATAATGACAGAGAAAAGGTCACATTTTTAGAGGCTACGTCAAATCTTTAAATGTATACATGGCAGTGACTACCCATTTGCATCATGCAATAAACTTTTAAATAAACTAGCCCGAGTTTTTTTTTATACATTTGAATGAAAAGTTATGCACAACACAGAAATTCATGTCTAAGCAAAGCTACAAACTCTACTGTGAAAGAAACATCAGTGAAAAAGGCAAGGATTAGCAGGTCCCATATGGTTTCCTTTTTAAGACGTACCCAGAGTGAGTTCCACCAAATCTATTTCAGCTTAAAATGGGGAGAGATGATTGAAACTCACTGTGCACTACCTGTGCAGCAGTTTTTTTGGGGGGCAGGCACCACAGCTGCATACATTTCTGCAGATGGATTCAGGAACCTTAATTAAGACAGGACCTTGAAGGTGGCTATTTTTATTTTCTCGAGTTTTTGAGGGAGAGGCTTTGAGGTTGATGTTATTTTAATGATGTTACAAATTAATTTCTCCACCCATAGTCGTGATCCCAGATACCTTTCAGGACACTACTCCCCCGTGAGGCAGGTGGTGCAATGCTTTCTAGTGATGCCTGCTGAGTGTTTTACATATGAAGGTGAAAGGAATGTATTCGGGAGACAGGCTTCCTCTAATCTCTTACAAATAGTAAATGTATGGAAAAGTACCATTTTCTAGGTCTTAATTGAGTTTCATAGAGGACTTGTGTTACTTTATTCTGTCCTTATAATTTCTTCTATTGAAGTACCTCTCTTTGATTTGGAAATATCTTGATATTTAAAAATAATTGATTGTACATTTGAAGACTCGATTGTCTATGGGCAGGACCATAAGTCACACATGGTCAGTGGAAGGTGGAGACCCAGAAGGTGATGACCATGAGCCTTGAGCTGCTGCAAAGCCGCCAACAAAAGAGTTTGTGTCAACAATAATAAAAAAACGTGTTGGAGTTTAGAGATAAGAATAGAGAAATCACACATGTTTGTAGACCATTTCATATCCTTACATGTGGCCATGTCTTTGACTCCCCATTTACATGACCCAGTGAACTCTTCTGCATTAAGCAGCCTGAGGAGTTTTCTGTAACTTTAAATCAAATTTTATACACTATACAGTAATTCATGGCTAAATACAGCTTCAAACTCTATTGTGAAAGAAGAGGCAGCAGAATAATGAAGTTTTTCAAGTCCACATTAAAGACTTCTAGTTTAAGAACCATACTCCCAGCACTTTGGGGGTCCGAGGCAGGTGAATCACAAGGTCAGGAGTTTGAGATCAGCCTGGCCAACATGGTGAAACCCTGTCTCCACTAAAAATACAAAAAATTGGCTGGGCGTGGTGGTGGGCACCTGTAATCCCAGCTACTCAGGAGGCTGAGGCAGGAGAAGTGCTTGAACCTGGGTGGTGCAGATTGCAGTGAGCTGAGATCTCACCACTGCACTCCAGCCTGGTGAAAGTGTGAGACTCCGTCTCAAAAAAAAAAAAAAAAAAAAAAGAATCATGCATAGTGGCTTCCACCAAATCTGCTTCAGCTTGAAATGGGGAGAGATGGTGGAAACTCACTGTGCACCATTTGTGCAGCAGTCTTATTGGGTATCACAACTGCATGAAATTCTGTGTCTGTGAACATCCCAAGAGATGGACTCAGAAGCCACAACCAAGACAGCGCCTTGAAGGAGACTATTGTAATTTCCTCACGGTTTTGAGGAAGAGGCTTTGAGGTTGCTATACTTTCTCCTGTAGGTGTGTAGTAGAGAAGTAGGATTTGAAATTTACTCAAAAGAGAGGAAATTAGGTGTTATACTTAACGGTTCTTCTTCCATATAATAGCCCCTATGTCCTCCTAATCAAAAGCTCTGTTCAACCATCCACATAAGCAATGTTTATAACGACAGCAGAAGTGCAATTGTTAGGATCATACAAGCTGCATACCTTTAGAGACACTGGGAAATGGATAAGGTAGAGGTCAACATAGTCCAGCTGAGCTTCATCCAGTGAGTATTCCAAGGCCGGTCGGACCAACTCTGGTCGATGGAAAGTGCACCAAAGCTGCAGAGGTTAGAGAAAGGAGATGATTTTGAATGAATGCTTGAGCCAATCTTATTAGTTTGTGCCATCTAATATTTAGACATTTTCGTACTGCTTCAAATTGTATGACTACTGACAAACATATTCTCTTTCTTCTCGTGATTCCTTTGGCTCTGACCTATCCGAACTTTATAATATGTTATACACATAGTTTATACATCTACTGAATGATAGGAGTAAACTACTTAAAAGGCAAAATTTGGTATCAAGTAATAACAATGCTCTTGTATGAACTATCTTTGGTAGAGTTTACAACTCATTTTAACAGTCTGATTCTTTTATCCATTGAACTTGACGTTTAAGAATAGCTATTTATGTTGTTAGAAACTAAAGCAACATAAAAAGGGGGTTAAAAACAAAGGTTTGAATATGCTCATTATACTGGACACAATTTAGGACAATTTAAGTATGTGTTATTTAATACACCCAGAGCACTTTTACACTGCTTTCTATCTCACGGATAAAGATGAAAATTGAGAGAATAATAAGAAATCTTAGAAAACCCAGGAGATAAGAAAAATCATAACGTGATTATCATTCTCTGTGATTCTGCGGCACATGTCAAATCCCACTGATTTGAGCTAAAGCTCAAAAAAGTAAAGGGACTTTCAGGCCATACATTTGGATGCAGGCAAAATGAAAAGTGATCGTCACTCCCTGATTTTGATTTAAGTTTTAATATGTGAATATGTGTGAATAGATTTGAACCCAGAAGCACAATTCACCCACAACTACGGGTCCAGTCAGAATTGGCATCCACACAGAATCACATAAGTATATGTGCATTCATGCTCATCCTAGGCACAGTACCTTTGAAGTGTAGAATATGTCTTCTCTCTTCACACTGCCATCTGCAATCTTGCTTCTAATGGCCAGTCCAACTTGCTTCTCGTTATTGTATAAATGAGCAGAATCGACATGGCGGAAGCCAGCTTCTATTGCTAATTTTGTGACCTCTGTAACTTTACTTCTGGGAACCTGGAGAAGCAACCAAAGGTAGTATCTGGAGATCAGTGTGGCTGGGAGGTAGTTCAGGCATAAGCATTGACCTTTACAAGAATCAGCTTTTCTTCCTGTCTTGGTATATGGGATGAAAATCTCATCTCAGTTTGCCTGGGTCTTTCCTGGTTAGCAATAAAGGTTGAGCATCCTAGGAATACCTTCAGTCCCAGGCAATCTCTGGTTGATCATTGTTATGGAGGTACCAAACAACACCCTCAGATTCAGGGATTTGTTGGTAAAGTTAACAGGACTCAAATGTCCTAATTATTTTTAATTTAGTGAGAGTACACAGGGTAAAAGGCACATGGGGTATGGAAGGGAAGCAGTGCAGGCTCGTATGAGTTCTCTCCCGGTGATGTCACACAGAATACTGACTCAGACTTCCTCCCACAGCATATTTGGGAAATGCTGTCTACAAGAGATGTTCTTTGGTGACTCAGTTCTTGAGATTTTGACTGGGTGCTAACTATATTGACCCAGCTAGGATTCATATGGGAAATAATGCATCTGTGGATAGTAGGCTATTACCTTAAGTCTTTTCAACACAGCCATTCTGGCTACACGACAGCACTGAACACTAGGAGTACAGATGTATACTCTGAGGATATCAATTTATACATTAAAAATTCACTGAAATCTGTAAGAATTTAGTAAGGTACACTTCTGCCATAAAAAATAAGGCTATCTCTTTCAGGAAAGATAGAATTCCAGTGACATTTGAAATTATTGACTTATTGACCAAATTTGGATAAAGATTTGAAATATATATATATCTTTCCTGAAAGAGCCTTATTTTTTATGGCAGAAGTGTACCATATATATATATATATATATATATTTTTTTTTTTTTTTTTTTTTCTCTGAGACGGTGTTTGGCTCTTGTTACCCAGGCTGGAGGGCAATGGCACGATCTCGGCTCACCGCAACCTCCGCCTCCTGGGTTCAGGCAATTCTCCTGCCTCAGCCTCCCGAGTAGCTGGGACTACAGGCAAGTGCCACCATGCCCAGCTAATTTTTTGTATTTTTAGTAGAGACGGGATTTCACCATGTTGACCAGGATGGTCTCGATGCCTTGACCTCGTGATCCACCCGCCTCGGCCTCCTAAAGTGCTGGGATTACAGGCGTGAGCCACCGCACCTGGCCCAAAATATATTTTTAAATGAAAAAATATAAATAAGCTGTTTTCCATTTTTAAACATATTTAAGAAGCTTTCTTTTTTCATTAAAATTACAAGGAACGAGATACCAGCTCTCACCGCCATCTCCTGAGGCAGTCTTTAGTGTGCCAACACGCAAATGTTTGCCAAGGCTGGAGCTTCAGTGGTGCCCTCATTTTTGCTTCCTGCCCATGCCAATTTATATTAAAAATTATACCACTTTTGCCAATGGTCTAGAAAATGTATCCTTGTAGCGCATCGCAACTTACAGATAAAGTGAGGCTCTCATTTTGAGAATTAGTCCCTATTCACACACTTAGCAGCCCGAGGACAGTCTTGGGATAGCACTTTTCTTCCGTGTAGTGGTTCCATCCGGAAAATGAAGTCTTCGTTTTGTTCATTTTCGTGTCAGAAGACAACCCCTACCACTTTGATGCAAATACGATGCATACAAAAAAGGACTAAGAGTTTAGACTTTTTTGTTAGGTTCTAGATTTTAGTTAAAATGAGGTGACATCTTCTCTTTCAGGAGGTTTTTCTGGAGGTGAGAATAGAACAGTGGAAACTCTATTTAGAGCAGGTCCAGTATTACTGGGTGGGGCTCACTGCCGCCCATCAGAACAGTAACGCTCTGCCAACAGTTTTGTGCACACCAGATCCAGCAATTTTTGCCATCAGTATTTCTCTGGATCATATGTTCTTGGAATAAGGAAAGATTTCTTCAGTTAGAGAGAGAAGCCACTCCCATTGCAACCACGTCCACCAGAGGGAGCTGACCGGCAGGGTTCCTCAACGCTGAGTTTTACATATTCTGCCAGGCTGGGAACTAGACACGCACAGAAGAAACTGCGCGAAATGAAAGCAAGCAGCACGTGACCTCAATGCAGAACAAGGATGGACTACTTTTTCTCTTCTAGCCTTGTGAGACCTAGACCAGAGGGTCACCCAGAGTAGTGTAGGAACACGAACCTTACAACCCAAGATGTGTTTCACTTTTACTAGGTTTAATCCTTTGCAAGCTCAACACTGAAAGAAATTATTCTTACCTCTGGAGGTGCATAGGTGCCAAATCCCAATACAGGGATGAAGTGACCATCATTTAGCTTCACACACTGGTGTTTGGAATCCATTCCCGTCACTTGTCTGACTAGCAAATACTATTTGTTTCTTCTTCCCTCAGAGATTATAAATACAATGGGCAGGCAACGCCCCACTACACACAGACTAATGGTTAACCAATAGCCTGTAAGGGGAAGGACATTGCAGCCTTATATGGACTGTGGAGAAAACTGAATCCAGTTCCTTGTTTCTTATCAAAGAGAATTCCCAAGTAAATTATTATAATATACGATCATAATAAACTCATTAATTTATATCTGAAGTTTTCTTTGTATTCAGAATCTCTCTCTATATTACATAAATTATTCAAAAAGATTTGTAGAATTAGTGACCATATGTTAGGCTATAAAAATCTCCAGCTACACATATCTTTTTTTGTTTGTCATAATAATGCCCCTTCCTTATATTGCACCATTTGAAATGCTTATTAACCATCTTACATCTTTCTCTCATGTACACATAATTTAAAGAAATGACTAATGAGAATTTTTAAAATAGTTGGCCCTTCATAAAAAAATTAAAACTGTAAAAATATTTGCCTTTTTACATTTTCAATCAGAAAATTTTGATTTTTTTTCTTTGCATTGTAAAAGAAATATTCATTCCTGATGAAGGTGCAGTCCTGATAAAGCTGTAATCCTGATGAGGATGCAAATAAGAAAGAAATTCTGATGTAGTTTTTATCGAAGTGTTAATTATTAATTATTCTAATGTAGTTTTTATCGGAGTGTTAATTATCAACAGTTTTTGGAGTTTGGTCTGGGGCAGGACCTCTTCGCTCAGTTCAGTGCAGACGCTCTGTGGCTCTCCTGGAGTGTGACATGGTAATGCAGCTCCTTCAAGGGGACAGAAGGAGGGGCCCCAGCTTTCGCCACTTATGTGTCAGCTGGGTCAGCCTAGTCTTGGGGCCCCAGGGAAGTGATCACATGCCAGCATTTTTATACTGTGCTGAGCAATTTTCCAATTCCAGATTTTGCATTTTCCAGGCCTCTACGTGGCGATGGAATGGCATGTATGAGGAAAGAAGGCTGACGAGTGGCAATCAAGGTGCAAGAGAACTTGTATTCAGAAGGAAAGAGTCAAATGTCATGAATAGGACAAGTAAGACTGGTTTTCAACATGGACCATTGGGATTGGCTATTGACCTTCACAAAGTCAAGAATGTTTTGATAGCATGATGGGGGTGGGAGTCAGGATAGTGTGCATTCAACCAAGTGTAGGATGAGAGTAATTAGATACAGTGAGTAGAACATGTTCAAATAATCAGCTGTAACGGGGACCAGATAATTGAGCAACCGCTGAGGAAAATGCAGCAACAGGAGGATTATTTTTGTGATGACAGCAAAACAGTGTGCATGTGTGTTCTTAGGAGGAACTCAGCAGGGAGAGAAAAATTGGTGATGCAGGAGAGAGAATGAGAATTGCTAAGATTATATCCAAATTGGTGAGGCAGGAGAGAGAGAATGAGAATTGCTAAGATTATATCCAAATTGGTGAGGCAGGAGAGAGAGAATGAGAATTGCTAAGATTATATCCAAATTGGTGATGCAGGAGAGAGAATGAGAATTGCTAAGATTATATCCAAATTGGTGAGGCAGGAGAGAGAGAATGAGAATTGCTAAGATTATATCCAAATTGGTGAGGCAGGAGAGAGAGAATGAGAATTGCTAAGATTATATCCAAATTGGTGAGGCAGGAGAGAGAGAATGAGAATTGCTAAGATTATATCCAAATTGGTGAGGCAGGAGAGAGAGAATGAGAATTGCTAAGATTATATCCAAATTGGTGAGGCAGGAGAGAGAGAACGAGAATTGCTAAGATTATATCCAAATTGGTGAGGCAGGAGAGAGAGAATGAGAATTGCTAAGATTATATCCAAATTGGTGATGCAGGAGAGAGAATGAGAATTGCTAAGATTATATCCAAATTGGTGAGGCAGGAGAGAGAGAATGAGAATTGCTAAGATTATATCCAAATTGGGGATGCAGGAGAGAGAGAATGAGAATTGCTAAGATTATATCCAAATTGGTGAGGCAGGAGAGAGAGAATGAGAATTGCTAAGATTATATCCAAATTGGTGAGGCAGGAGAGAGAGAATGAGAATTGCTAAGATTATATCCAAATTGGTGATGCAGGAGAGAGAATGAGAATTGCTAAGATTATATCCAAATTGGTGAGGCAGGAGAGAGAGAATGAGAATTGCTAAGATTATATCCAAATTGGTGATGCAGGAGAGAGAATGAGAATTGCTAAGATTATATCCAAATTGGTGAGGCAGGAGAGAGAGAATGAGAATTGCTAAGATTATATCCAAATTGGTGATGCAGGAGAGAGAATGAGAATTGCTAAGATTATATCCAAATTGGGGATGCAGGAGAGAGAGAATGAGAATTGCTAAGATTATATCCAAATTGGGGATGCAGGAGAGAGAGAATGAGAATTGCTAAGATTATATCCAAATTGGGGATGCAGGAGAGAGAGAATGAGAATTGCTAAGATTATATCCAAATTGGTGATGCAGGAGAGAGAATGAGAATTGCTAAGATTATATCCAAATTGGTGATGCAGGAGAGAGAGAATGAGAATTGCTAAGATTATATCCAAATTGGTGAGGCAGGAGAGAGAGAATGAGAATTGCTAAGATTATATCCAAATTGGTGAGGCAGGAGAGAGAGAATGAGAATTGCTAAGATTATATCCAAATTGGTGAGGCAGGAGAGAGAGAATGAGAATTGCTAAGATTATATCCAAATTGGTGAGGCAGGAGAGAGAGAATGAGAATTGCTAAGATTATATCCAAATTGGTGAGGCAGGAGAGAGAGAATGAGAATTGCTAAGATTATATCCAAATTGGTGAGGCAGGAGAGAGAGAATGAGAATTGCTAAGATTATATCCAAATTGGTGAGGCAGGAGAGAGAGAATGAGAATTGCTAAGATTATATCCAAATTGGTGATGCAGGAGAGAGAATGAGAATTGCTAAGATTATATCCAAATTGGGGATGCAGGAGAGAGAGAACGAGAATTGCTAAGATTATATCCAAATTGGTGAGGCAGGAGAGAGAGAATGAGAATTGCTAAGATTATATCCAAATTGGTGAGGCAGGAGAGAGAGAACGAGAATTGCTAAGATTATATCCAAATTGGTGAGGCAGGAGAGAGAGAACGAGAATTGCTAAGATTATATCCAAATTGGTGAGGCAGGAGAGAGAGAATGAGAATTGCTAAGATTATATCCAAATAAGTTTTCTGTTCCGCTGTAACAAATTACCACAAACGTTATGGCTTGAAACACCACAAATTAATTTTCTCGAAGTTCTGAAGAATAGAATTCCAATATCTGGTTCAATGAGCTAAAGTTAACGTGTCCACAGGCCTACGTTTCTTCTTGAGGGTCTAGGGGAAAATCAATTTCTTGACCATTTCCAGCTTCTAGAGGATGCATTCCTTTGCTCATGGCCTCTTCCACCTTCAAAGCCAGCTGCAGGGCATCTTAGGGTCTCTGTCCTATGCGGCTGTCCTTATATCTCCTCTTTGACTAGTAATAATAATAATGTGACCCAGTACCATATTATTGGGTGTGGGAATGGGCCGTGTGTTGCTTAGGTGGTGTAAGTTTTGTGTCTCTGATGTTGTTGTCTAACTGACAATGAGAAATATATTAAAGACTTCCCCCTTCTCCCACCCAATCCACGTTTTTTCTCTCTCAGAGATTGTTTCTTTAGACAGAAAGTTACTGAATACTTGCTAAATTACAGTACAGTGAAAACTTAACTCTTGCATTCTGCTTTCAGTGATTCACTCTGCAGATCTATCTGCCTTCTGATGTGGGAATCTAGTCCACTTAGATCGATGTATAGTCATAACCCACAGAAGAACATTTTGGTCAGTGATGGACACATAGGCAACAGTAGTTGTATAAGACCACAAGACCTTACGTTGTTAGGGAGGTGCACATGGGGAGCCAAGGCTGTGCCCACACAGACGTGAGCCTCTCAGGGGCTGCCCAAGCTCCCCTCAGGAAGATAGACAGTGGCCTGTGGAGAAGTTTCTCCGTCAGATCTTTAAAGAGTCAGGATCTTAGTCTGTTTTTTCCTGGGATTTGATCTTTCCTTGATCCAATTAGGCAGATAAGGGGGGAAGAGGCTCAGAGAAAGGCTTTTATCCTCTCTTCTCTTCACTAGGTCTATTTTCTCAGCACTTGCAAATCTGTCAGGGAAGAAAGCTTTTCAGGGCTATTTTTGTGTCAGCAGCCTCTCTGAATTGTAGCCCCTCTTAATAGCAATATCAAAATATACCCAAAAATACTTTTTGAGTAGCACATTTTGTTCTACTTCACCCTGTATGAAAAGTCTTCAAAACTCAGAGTGCACCATGAGGTCCTCAGCTGGGGCCCCCCACCCCACCTCCTGGGAAGGCAGATACCAGCCTCAGACACACTAGGCAAGAGCATCTGTAAATGAAATGATTTGAAAACAAATGGCTCTATTTCACACGCTTCTTTCCAACCACCCGACACAAAAGCAAAACACCTGTCCAACTCAGAAGACGTACGGTGATCCAGGCTGGTGACGGGAAGACGTGACATGCTGTTGAAGTCCTGGTCACAGTGAGTCAGCAACACTCACAAGGAGCTTGGAGTTGACACTACCGAGACGCTTCGAGATGAACACACCTGGTGAGTGTTAACGCCTCAACGAGGGTGGAGAACTGTCTGCACCTGACAGCAGACGGGCCTGTTCTCCTCATCCCTGCAGAGCAGGCATCTGAAGCTCTTCTTGCCTTATTTATCCTCGAGGCAAATAGTCACTTGCTTCAATGGCAGATATTTTCAACTTACCGCACAGTTCACAAACCAAAGGTAGCCGTGTTTAAACCATGTGTGCTCTTAATCTCTCTGGGCCCTGCCTATATGTATGAACAAAGTTAAATTCCTTGCTAAGATCCCTATTCTATTTAAAATACATATTGAGGAACATGTTGGACTGGAGATAGAAATACACTCACAAACAGGTGCTGTGCTTTATTGATGACCTACCTTGCATTTAACCCTTTTCCCGTTTGCCCCAAGAATACCCACCAGTGGCGTTTGTGGTGGCAATGTTTACCTTCAGAAAACTTTGCCATAAAATACCTTGCTGTTATTATTATTATTTGAGACAGGGTCTTTCTCTGTCATCCTGGCTGGAGTGCAGTGGCACAACATCAGCTCACTGCAACCTCTGCCTCCTGAATAGCTGGGACTACAGGCATGCATCACCATACATATCTAATTTTTGTATTTTTAGTAGAGACGGGGTTTTACCATGTTGGCCAGGCCGGTCTCGAACTCCAGACCTCAATTGATCCACCTTCCTCAGCCTCCCAAAGTGTTGGGATTACAGGTGTGAGCCACCACACCTGGCCTATTATTATTTTTGAATCACTCTACTGTGTCGACCTTGGAAACAAAAGACATCATTCTATTTATAGCTTTCTGGTTTTAGTAGTGGTATTTCTATTTACAAAATATAGTAATCATATCATTTGGGGCCTTTTGGGTATTTGTTAAGGCCTCTATATGACATGTAACATCTTCCACACCTATCTAAATGAGTGAAGCTAAATGACCGTGCCATTGGAATAGCGAACATGTCCAACAAGATTGTAAATGAAGAAGGTTTCCTGGTTTTGGCAGGGTCTGAATTACTCAACCTTGGGCCCAAGCATAACCTATGGAACATCGTGTGCTTCAAATCCTGGGTTTAAGGTCAATGTTTAGTGAACTGGAGGCACTGGTGTTTGGCAGGAGTTACAGTCCACTCAGGGGTTGTGCTTTTTAAAGTGAGAGATGTGAATCCATGAGTCTATACCCTCTAACTTTGCAGCACATAAATTAGCCAATAGTACCTCTTATGTGCCCTTCCAGCGGGGTTGAAGGGAATCCTTTATGTCTTTTCCAAGAGACAAAATCTCCAGGTTGCAGATCATGACCAGGCACCTTATTTTCAGAAAGCACACTCTGAAAGTAATTCTTTACCAAATCTTTGCTTTTGTTTTAAGGTGATAAATAAGTCCCTCACAGTATTTTGGTATATCTTCCCTTGCAAAACGTTGGGTTAATTATGTATATTCCCATACACATGGGCCTTCATGTTATGATTTCATCGGGAAACAGTTGCTGTTTTTCAAAAGGGGTGAATTGGAGTGGAAGCAGCAATATGGGGAGTGCTTTGGGCCAGAGGAGGTGAAATGCATCCGTGACCTTAGCCAGTTGCATTTAAATTATTCCATTGGGTCTCTTCAAAGATGATTTTTAGGGCCCCAATTTTAAAGGGGAAAGGGCAGGATATTAAGAAGCACACAGTTTTCACATAAACAAAAAAAATGTGGGGAGTCTGCATTTTACGTGAGCTAACACAGACAAAAGGGGTGGGGGAACAATCAGGTACATATTTGAGTCTGGTGGGCCAGGGTGACTGCCCTGTGAAGATAAGCTATCACTTTGCATTGCCATGGTGAAGTTTCCACAGCTCACCAGGAATTTCCTTGTGGACAAAATTTGGAGGAGGCGGGTAGCGTTTCATCTTGTAACCATCTTAATTAGGAACCAAAAGAGGGAGGCAGGTTTTGGACTGAGCTCACGTTCTAAGCCTCCACAGACCAACCCAAGTCAACCAAAGTGGAGTCGTCAGTTCTAAGACTTCAGGAAATGCACACACGTTAGAACACAGCCCAAACAGTATTTTGTTTTTCTCCTGCAAATCTCTGTAACAAACATTCTTGACAGCGTAAGTATCAACTCCTGAAGTTTCCATTAAATGATTAACCAAATTCATTTCCTCTCACCTAGAGACCATCTAGCTTTAAATGATCATGGAACAAAGGCTCCAGCCAGTTCCAGGTAAAGACACCACCCCTGGCCATCAAGGAGCTACCCTGCCTTCAGTAAACAGAGAAAGGTGAGAGCTCTGTGATCCCCAGTAGGTAGGGTCTGCACCCCTTCATTCTTTGCTGCTGCATTCTTCTGTGGGGTTTTTTTTTGGCACATTTTGTCCAATTCTTTGTTCAAGATGCCAAGAACCTGGACACCCTCGTCTGATAACACAATCACCTCCTAGGTAACAACCTCCTAATATCATCACCTTGGGGGTTAACGTGTGGTATATAAATGTGGTGAGAATGTAATAATTCTGTCCATTGCATTGGGCAAATGGAGGCTGTAGGAGCAGCATCATTCTTTACAACAGTCAGTGTTTTGGGGCTGCTGAGTGTCCCTGAATCCAAGGCCTGCCCCACCCCCACCTGGGTTTTCATACTACTCTGGGCTACTTCTTCCAGGTCCTGGACCCCTGGCAGAGGCTCTGGCTCCCATAGTATCTCCTGAGACTCAATCCCTGCCCCTGAAACGATTTATGCCCTTGTCAAGTTCTAGGAAACTACTTGAGCCACACCACGGTTTGTACCTGTCTGTGCAGCGGTTCCTCAGTCTGCCACGTAACCCCCTCTGTCATCATTTGGATTTCAGCTCCAGACTCACCATCTCACTGAGGTCTTCATACCTGTATCACTCTAATAAAAGTAGCTCTTGAGTCCCCGTTGTCTCTCTCCATCTCACCCCTGCTGCAACGTCTTCATTACAGTTGTCACTATGGAAAATGATCGGATTCATCTGCTGGTGTGTTTTCATACTTATTGTCTGAAAATCCAACACTAACCTCCACACCTAGAAAAGCCCCCAAACAGATAGTCAATGCCCAATAAATCCTCGTGGAATGAACGAAACTAAGCTCTGCACATAGCCACATTGGACAGTTCTAACTTCCCGTCTGCTGTGTTTCTGTTGGCTGCTACTCCTGGACTCTCTCTCAATGGTTTTTACAAGTTGCGTTCAAAATTGTGCTCCAGGGCTGCGCGCAGTAGCTCAAGCCTGTAATCCCAGCACTTTGGGAGGCCGAGGCGGGTGGATCACAAGGTCAAGAGATCGAGACCATCCTGGTCAACATGGTGAAACCCCGTCTCTACTAAAAATACAAAAATTATCTGGGCATGGTGGCGCGTGCCTGTAATCCCAGCTACTCAGGAGGCTGAGGCAGGAGAATTGCCTGAACCCAGGAGGCGGAGGTTGCAGTGAGCCGAGATTGCGCCATTGCACTCCAGCCTGGGTAACTAGAGCAAAACTACGTCTCAAAAAAACAAAACAAAACAAAACTGTGCTCCACTGTGAGAGACTGAGAGGCCCGTATCATATTTGAAAGAAAGTAGCCAAGCACTATTAGGTTGGTGCAGAAGTAATTGCCATTTTTGTCATTAAAAGTAATGGTGAAAACTGCAAAAAGAAGCAGTCATTTGAGTGATATTCACAAATTAACGTTCCTACCCATGGCCGTGCTCCCAGGCATATCTAGGCCTGGGACACTAAACTATCATGAGGTAGATGGTGCAATCATCCAGATCCAGATCCAGATGTTTATTGAGTATTTTACATGCAGAGTTGTTACTAATGTCTTTAGAAGACAGGTTTTCTTTGAAATCTTACATCTTTATACATACACTAATAAGTAACATTCTCTTAGTTCTTGATGAGATCTTATAGTTCGATTATGTTACTTTTTGCTGCCCCCCTGTAATTTGCTCTGTGGAAATGTCTTTTACTGGGAAAGGCAGTATTTAGATGGCCTCAATGGCCAGCAATACTAGATTGCAATCTTTCTTTTTTAACTTTTATTTTAGGTTCAGATGTACATGTGCGGATTTCTTATATAGGTAAATTGCATGTCTTAAAGGTTTGAGGTACACAGTATTTCCTCACCCAGATGATCAGCATAGGACCAGATAGGCAGTTTTTTGATCCTCACCCACCTCCTACCCTCCACCTTCAAGAAGATCACGGCATCTGTTCCCTTCTTTGCGTCCATGTGTACTCAATTTTGAGCTCCCATTTATATGGGAGTTCAAACCAGAAAACCAACACATGCAGTATTTGGTTTTCTGTTCCTGTGCTATTTTGTTTAAGATAATGACCTCTGGTTTCATCTGCGTTGCTGCAAAGGACATGATCTCATTCTCTTTTTGTTGCTGTGTAGTATTCCATGATATCTATGTACCACATTGTCTTTATCCAGTCTGCTGTTGACAGGCGTTTAGTTTGATTCCATCACTATGCTGTTGTGAACAGTGCTACAATGAACATATGTGTGCATGTGTCTTTACGATAGATTGATTTATATTCTTTCAGCTAGATGCCCAATAATGGGATTGCTGAGTGGAATAGTCATTCTGTTGTAAGTTTTTTGAGAAATCACCACGCTGCTTTCTATAAAGGTTGAACTAATTTATATTCCCATCAGCAGAGTATAAGTGTTCTTTTTTATTAGAACCTTAGCATGTGTTTTCTGACCTTTTAATAATAGCCATTCTGACTGGTATGAGACGGTGTCTCATTGTGGTTTTGACTTACCTTTCTTTAATGATAGTGATGCTGGGAAATTTTTTCATATGCTTGTTTGCCACAGAACGTCTTGTTTTAAAAAATGTCTCTTCATGTATTTTCCCCACTTTTTAATGGGGTTGTTAAGTTTTTTTTTTTTTTGCTTGATATTTTGTTTAATATTAGTCCTTCACTGGATGCATAGTGTGTGGCTATTTTCTTCCATTCTTTAGCTTATCTGTTTATTCTGCTGATAGTGTCTCTTGCTGTGTAGAAGCTGTCTGGTTCATTAGGTCCCACTTGTCGCTTTTCTGTTTTTGTTGCAATTGCTTTTGGTCCTTTCATCATGAAGTCTTTGCCAGGGCCTATTTCAGAATGATATTTTCTAGGTTATCTTTAAGGGCTTTTCATAGTTTTAGGTTTCATACTTAGGTTGTATTATTTTCTGAGTTGAGTTTTTAATATGGTGTAAGGAAGGTGTTCCAGTTCCAATCTTCCGCACATGGCTGGCTAGTTATCACAGCATCATTTATTGGGTGATGGTAGCTGTGCAGCATTATTTCTGGCATTTTCCCTTCTTTTCCTTTGGTCCATGGGCCTGCTTTTGTACTAGTACCCTCACGGATGACTTTGAGGAATTTAAGACTGCAGTGGAGAAAATAATTGCAGATTTGGTGGAACTAGCAGTTTTGTGAAAATGGAGGGTGAAGAACTGGAAAAAAGCCCACAGCAGCTTTAGTATTTACAAATGACTGTAATGATGATTTCACAACTTGAAAAAACAGTTATGAATGCTAAAGAGATTTAGAATATAATTTTTTTCATAAGCATTACACACTTGGACACTAAATTTCAACAAAATGTGAATCTTTTCTTGACAATTACATCAAGCTACTTTCTGAGATGTGAAGTAATTTTCTTTTGTGGAGATCTTTCTTGTAGAGATTACTTAGACTGAGAAAGTTGAGGTAGAACAGGATGGCAGTGGATTATATGGGTTTGTTTGAGACACGGTAAGTGTGAATGTCCGTTAGACTCTAACATGGAGATGGAGAGTTCACATCGTGATCTTCCATTCAGAATTTGGAGGAAAAAACGGAGCTAGAAATATTTTGGGGGGATTTCTCAGTCTAGAGGTGATATTTAAAGCAGAGAATATGTAAGATCACCAACAGAATGACAGTAGACCAAAAATAATCCAAAAAATTTGTCTAGGGCACTCCGAAGTTGATGGATTCCTCTAATTTTATGGATTAAGTAATTTATGGAAAAATCGTGAGCCGTAAACGTGCTGGGATGCCTGTCAGCTGTAAGACATGGCTTGAGAAGGACTCTTTGACGGGGCTAATGTGGCCACCGGAGTAAGAATAGTTGAGAGTAAATGTGTTATTAAGTGTGTCCAGGTAAAAAAACCATTGTCCCCCTCAAAGTGCTTTGATCATTAAGACAGGAAATTATCCCGAGTTTTCAAAAGTGTCTAAAATGAAAATCTGTTTTCATGATTAGCAGATTTACTTGGTTCCCCTGAAAATTATGTAAAAGAATTAAATGAGTTTGTAAGAGTTGTTCTTAACATTTACTAAAGTTTGAAAACAGTGTGCTATTTTACATACCATTTCCAAAATATTTTTGAAGACTTGGAACATTTGTTTATTAGATATGTTATTTCCCATTTAAATTCTGAGAGTAATACATCACGGTTTGGGATATTTTGTGTTTTGTACTTGTAACTATGCCTTATTTAATGTATAAGACATTTAAAAGATTGAATATAACAAATTAATAGCACATTTTAGAATCTAAGAATATTTTTTAATATGAGATATTCAGGGGAATGTGATCAGTATGTCTTTGATGTCCTGCCCCACCGCAGACCAACAGGGTTAATGCCGGAACTGGGCACACATTGAAGGGCCAGGCCTGACCCTCATCTGTGGGGTTTGCTGAAACATTGTGGAAACTTTCCTTTTATGAACAAGACATAATTATCAAATTAAAGAGTGCTGATGTATTTTTCCAAGCGGAGGTGTGCTCGACTCTCTCCTATGAAACCTCCACATACCTGACTCATAATCACTTTTCCCGATGGGTGCCCTCCCACCTCCATAACCACCCCTCCCACAGGGATGCCTCCTCCCAAGTCTCCGGAAGCTCTAACCCTCACGCCGCTAGAGAAAGCCCACAGATTGCCAATCACCCTGTCGATATTGCTCGCCCTCCAGACTCTATGCTGCGTGTGCTTCTTTCTACAAGAGCTAGAGAGGCACTGACTGATAACCACCTTGCCCCTTTCCCAGAAAAAAGTGAATTTCCCACTCCCACCCCAGAAATGAATCTTAAATGGTTGTTATCACCTCCTACCCCCAGTCCTCAACTTATAGGAAAATCACAATTTAGGGGCACTAATGTGTCGGAAGGAAAGAAAGCATACAAGTTCTGGAGATCCAAGTAGGTGAAGAATCTTTAGGAGACAGCATTTAACTTTTTCAAAATGAAAAATAAAATTCATTGTGTTTCTTTTCTGCTCACTGGGCTTTGCTGTAGCTTGCTGAAGTTGCCAAGCGGGAGGGATTGAACCAGAGGCAATGTGTCCAGTCACCAGCGTAGAGATGTCCTCTGTGTCACCATCCACATGGAGGACCTTCTGGTAGACCTCATAAGACACCCTCTATGTTAATATTCATCAGAGAATGGATAACTAGGGTGGTCAGCAAGACTGGAAAGAGAAAGAAAAATGCACACTGTGAATGACGATGACTCTGTTACTAGCGAGTAGTGCAGTGATTTCTAGGAAGCTGCCACTAGTGTGGCTGTTAAGAAGATCACGAGGTCAAGAGATCGAGACCATCCTGGTCAACATGGTGAAACCCCGTCTCTACTAAAAATTACAAAAAATTAGCTGGGCACGGTGGTGCGTGCCTGTAATCCCAGCTACTCAGGAGGCTGAGGCAGGAGAATTGCCTGAACCCAGGAGGCGGAGGTTGCGGTGAGCCAAGATCACGCCATTGCACTCCAGCCTGGGTAACAAGAGCGAAACTCCGTCTCAAAAAAAAAAAAAAAAAAGTTCATCTTCTGACCACTGGAGAATCTGTGTTTCTTAGTTTAATGAATGTGACTTTATTATCTCTGTATTTTCAAAATAAAGAATCATTTAATTTTATTCTATTCCCTGGCCTGAAACTTAACACATAAAACACACGAAGTCAAATGTTCAAACATATTTCTCAACATCTGTCAACAGAGCAAAGAGATATTCTCATCTTTTCTATTTCAAATTCTCAGTAAAAACAGGAATGCATTCTGCCTTACGGCGAAGAGGAATGAGCAAGCTATATGCTCATCGTGAATAAACCATTTTGAGTGTGATGATTATGCTGGTAACAACTGTACTTTGTTACTTTACTTACTACTTACTACCTGTGTGTCATATGCAACACAGTTGTTAGATTCAGAAATGTAATTTGTTGTTTATGACATAGGGTCCAGTATCCAAGAAGCTACAGTGCACAAGCATTTTTATAGGTAGAAATAACCCAAAATATAAAGACACAGATGCATGACTGCTCACACGTACAGTTGTAATTTGTTAATTAGAGAATGGAGGCTATCCTATGTGATTATGCCAAGAGCAAACACGTGGAAGCTTGCAAGTGGTTCACTCTAGACCGTATTTGAGTTCTACTAAATAACACTAGCGTTGATTTAATGATCCTAAAAGAATTAGTTGGTTGTGAAAAGTCTAATGCTTGCCACTTTTCCTTTTCTTTGTACCATTTCCTCTTTCATTGTTTATTTTCCTCTAAATGAAAAAAAATACTAACAGTAATATCTACCAAATTTTGAGTTTTTATGATATGCCATCGTACTTGTTTTTTTCACACATGATCTCATTATCTCTATTACTTGTTAAAATCTCCACTGCCAGCAGTTACATACCTTTCTTATCACTCTTTATGAGTGATTTTCTATGAATCCTAGAATCTTAGAACATAGGTGAATAGTAAACGTCTTTTATTGGTTATAAATTATCTCCAACAATGATGCTTTTGCATCCACACTCTCTATTTGATTTTAAGTTTCTTAATTTTCTGTGCTGAGCTCTTCATATTGCAGAATGTCAAGGCCAAGTGCTGCTACTCATTCCACTAAGACAGACTTTGTGGAGGCAAATGCAGTGTTTGGGTCATGGGAAAATATGCAAAGAAAAGGAGGAAAAAGGTTTGAAATGATTAAAAATGCTTAATTGACAGGATCTAGAAAGCAATTCCATATGAAGGAGGTGGGAATTGGAACCTGGCCCACAGGGCTGATGTAAATGCCTTTGATGTGGTAAGAAATTGAGCAGGTTGGGAAGAAAGTGATATAAGCACAGATTTGGGAACTTCTAATGCAGCCACATGGGCAGTATCCACAGTGTGTCCACTAGACAGTTGTAGAAACACCAGGCCTATATGGAAGGGCAGATTCAGCAATGATGTTGCCTGCTCTGGAAAGTTCCACGGAGTCAGGGAAGCAGAGTCACGGGTTGACCCACGCTTACCCTGGACCACTCACACTGCCAGAGAACAGAGCTCTGGAGTGAATCCAGGAGAGTTCCAGTCTCCCCTCTGACTCACTGGCCTCTGTGCCCCTGGTGTGGAGGTCACTCCAAACACCCATCCTACATTCCTCCTCTGAAAATAAATTAGGACACCCGTTACCAGAGTTACTTACACATGAAGGGTTATATAGCGAACATTTTTGTTTAGGCCGTCTATGGTTTTCATGTCCTCTGAAGTCAACTGGAATTCAAACACCTATCAAAGTAATAAAAAAACTTTAATTATTTTTAGGTTATATCGTTTCCCATTGAGAACAACCAAGTAAATGAGACAGTAGGATGCAGAGGCAATACTTAAAAGATTGACACATTTCCAAAAGTTATGAAAGCGCTCTCTAGGGAAAACCAGACAAAAAATAAACAGAAATCCATTCTCACATAGAATATTTTGAAACTGCCTAACACTGCAGGCAAAGAGAATATTTCAGCTGGGCTTAGTGGCTCAAGCTTGTAATTCCAGCACTTTGGGAGGCTGAGGCAGGTGGATCACGAGGTCAGGAGACGGAGACCAGACTAACCCACATGGTAAAACCCAGTCTCTACTAAAAATAAAAATTTTTAAAAAAGCTGATCGTGGTGGTATGTGTCTGTAATTCCAGCTACTCAGGTGGCTGAGGAAGGAGAATTGCTTGAACCTGGGAGGTGGAGGTTGCAGTGAGCTGAGATAGTGCCACTGCACTAGCCTGGGCAACAGAGCAAGACTGCATCTCAAAAAAAAAAAAAAAAAAAAAGAGAGCGAGAGACAGAATATCTCAAAAGACACTGAAGAAGAAGAAACGAAGGAACAGCTGACCTTGCACACACATGATAGTGTCATGTGCTTAGAAGATCCACAAGAATCTAGAGGCAAATTTTTGTAAGGTCTATCATAATTTAGTAAGCATAATTAATAATGTTGAATATCTATCCAATGAACAGGTATAATACGAAAAATATAATATGAAAAATGCTGAAAATAATTTAGCCAATAATTGTCTAAATGCTAATGATTCCACATTCAAAAGGCACGGGTACTCACTGTGTAAACTTGGGAGACTATAAATATCTAAAAGATGCCACTATTTCTAACACATTAAATCAAATAAGTGCATGAATCCATAGGGAAACTGTAAGAGTGATAGAGAAAATGAGAGAAAGGGAGAGTAAAAAATAGCAGTGTGACACTTGATGAATCTAGGTAAGAGCATTCCTTGCATTATTCTTTTGATATTTCTATACATTAGAAAATCCACAAAACAAAAATAAGTTATCAAAAACTGTGAAAATTATCAGTACTCTATGAATAAATCTAAAATATAGATGAATTCATGGAGAAAGTTATGAAATTAAGGATAGATTTATTAAAATATTATTTATTAATTAGTGGGAAATTCATAATATGAACATAAATAGGAAATCTCAATATTGTCAAAAACTCATTTCTCTCCACATTGATCTGCAGGTATAAACCTACAATATCAACAAGAGAATAAAACATTGGGCCCGGCGCGGTGGCTCACGCCTGTAATCCCAGCACTTTGGGAGGCCGAGGTGGGTGGATCATGAGATCAAGAGATCGAGACCATCCTGGTCAACATGGTGAAACCCCGTCTCTACTAAAAATACAAAAAATTAGCTGGGCATGGTGGCACATGCCTGTAATCCCAGCTACTCAGGAGGCTGAGGCAGGAGAACTGCCTGAACCCAGGAGGTGGAGGTTGTGGTGAGCCGAGATCGCGCCATTGCACTCCAGCCTGGGTAACAAGAGCGAAACTCCGTCTCAAAAACAAAAACAAAAACAAAAACAAAAACAAAAAACCTTTACTCACTTGTGCAAGTTAATGAGATGATATAAAATTTTAAATAGCGTATTAGTCAAGAACAGCTAAGATATTATTAAACAAATGAAGACGTTAGAAAAATATTTGTACCATACTGGAAGTGAAACTTACTTTTTAACATCATAGTACAGAAAAGTAAATAAGTTAACTGAAGATGGAAGAGAGGCCAGATAATTACTCATGGACATATCATGTATGTTACAGGTAAAAAAAAAAAAATTAAGATATGTGAACAAATATGAACTTTTCAATAAATGTTGGTGGGGCATTTTGCTAAAAATTCAAAAATTAGATATGCTTGTTTGGATCCTTATTTCACATAATATTTTAAAAAACAATCCCAATAGAATTAACCAAATTTCCAAGGAAAGAATATTAACACTTTTGTAAGATAACACAGTAAAATATTGTGATATTTCCAATATTGATAAGACACAGCACTCATTAACCACAGGAAAGAGGCATGAAAAATTAGTCTACATTAGGGATAGAAACTTTTGTTTGTGAAAACATAACCACAGAGAATATGACAAGACAAGTAAAATTTGGGAGATGTTATTTCAAGAGTACATTTGAGTCTCTAAAGAATTAATATCCAGAATAAATACATATATGTGTATGGTTGCTAATTAACATATATATTATATAACATATATGCCATATATCATATATGTCTATATATAATAGATGAATTAGAGAACGCACACGTGTACAAATACTGGTAATTTCTACAGTCTTTCATAACTTTACCTTTTTGTTTTGTGGATTTTTCTAATGTCTAAAAACATTTCTTAAATAAACCAATAAATGCTGCTACCTCGATTCATCGTTTCATGGTCATTTCTTACTCTCTCTCATTCTCTGTACCACTGTTTCAGAGTATCCTATAGATTTATACACTAATTTTACTTAATATTTTAGCAAATAGCGACATATATACATATACAGGATATATGTCATATATAACATGTTTTATTATGAATATATTCTATATGATATATATTTTATATATACACAACTAATTAGAAAACATATATATACATATGGATTCTGGATATTCTTTAGATACTTGGATGTATTCTTAATATATAAAATAATATATCAAGTATGTATACATATACCTATTGATAAATTATTTCACACATATCACATACATAATAGAGTCTGACGTGTCCTGTAACTTGCTTTAGGTGATAGAATTTCCTGGAAGCAATGGTGTGGCAGCTCTCTGAGCTTAGACTTGAAAAGGCTTTGCATGTGTCCACTGACTGCCTTGGGCTAGTGTCCTGTGCTGAGGTGAAGCCTGGGATGGCTGGAGGATAAAGAACTGCATGGAGGAGACACAGGTGCCCAGATAGATGCCCCATGGACATCCTGAGCAGAGCAGCCTGGCTGCCCTGCACACAGAGCCCCGCCAGGAATAGAAGGATTGGACTGAGTTTAGGCTGAGCCCAGGCTAATTTTCTAACCATGGAATCTTGAGCTCAATAAATGCTCATTAAGCCTCTATGTTCAGTGGGTTTGTCTTATATCCTTAGGTATAGGTATAATTATGGTCTCCTACACATAAAAATAAGAACTTAATGACCCCCGCCCCCCCCCGCTCCCAAGAAAAAACAGGCAGAGTAAAACAAGCACTTGGCAAAGGTAAAATTCTAAGAGAATAAATATAAGAAATTTATACTACATTATTATAAAAGAAAAAAAATCCACGATGATTTGGAGACTAAAGAATGTCTAATCAAACTCCTCATTATAGAAAATTTAAAAAGGGAGATATCCCTAGCAGAGGAATATGGATATCACTGGCCTAATGATAACCCAATTTTTGGTTTTTATCCCCTCCTATTTCTCTCTACCTGTGCTGCCTCTCCTGTGGTAGAGTAGAAGAAACCCTTATAATGCACACAAAAAGTTCATATAGCAAATCACAGGGAAATGGAGCTGGCCGAAAGGTGTCCTGAGAGCCTGACAAGAAGCACACCTCTGAAGGACACCGTGCAGGAGCCCTGATGCCCACAGCCCCGCTCCTCACCTGCATGTTCTCTCTGATCCGCTGCTCATTGTAGCTCTTGGCCAGGACCACAGCCCCACGCTGCAGCTGGTAGCGCAGGGCAATCAGGGCTGGGGATCGCTTGTGCTTCTTTGCTAAGGCACAAAGAACTGGGTCCTCCAAGAGAACCGGGCAGTTCTGATCCACCCTGGAAGGAAAGGCAGAAATGCTGAAGCCCTGAGGCTGCGGATACAGTTTGGTAGGAGGCAGGCCCCCTTAACAGACTAAACTGTTCATTCTGCACCAGAGCTTCTCAAGGGAGGCCGCGGAACAGCCGCAGCAGCATCACCTGGGATCTCGTCAGAAATGCAAATTCTTCCCTCACCCCAAGTCAGCTGTGAGTGAACTCCAGGAAACTGAGAGCCTGATCTTATGAAAAACTTTTATCAAAATGTGGTGTTTTAGGTAAACTTCCTGTTGCTCTTATTACCATGCTTTTTCTCGGTGGGACCCCAGAGCACTATAGGCAACCAGAACAATGTCTTTTGACTTGCAGAAATCCAGCAGTTTTCTCTGGTTGAGGTAAGGATGACATTCCACCTGCAGATGACCAAGACAGAAAAGCATCACATAACCCAAAAGTTATGTTAGTATAAAAATGACTAACGTAAAAGAAGCTGAATAATGTCTAACGTTAAATTTGAACTCAGAATATTATTGTCAAGAAATGATCATTTCATAAAAATAAATTTTATATCCCTCTCTCCTAAGAAAATAAAAATGCCATTTCTGAGCACAAGCATCTCTACACCCTATCCTGGTTTCTAAATAACTTTGACCACTAGAAGCAGACATGGCCATTTTCAGAGCTGGGATTGGGTCAGATTCTTTGAGCCTTGAGCATCAAATTGTGACAGAAATCAAGAAAATGGTCAAAGACTCGTGAGAGCCGTTCTGAAAGACAAAAACTACCTAATGAGTAAATGTGAGCATTAAAAATTAAGCAAAATGGGTATTGGTGCTGTGTAACGAACAATGATTATAATTAGCATGTGGTTCAGAATATATAATGTTAAGTTTTTAAAAAGTATCTTGATGGTTCTTTTCTATGTATGATTTCAGACTTTCATAAAGTGTACCAAAAATTTCATACATTTGTTTTCAGTGAACTGCTTTTTGTTATGGTAGGTCATTAAACACAGCACTTACTCTTAAAAATTAAAATTTCTGATCATCTAGGCTACTGACACATTTCAATTTGCAGTGTCTGTTTTATTGGATATATTAACGTTCCTCTGAATGGCAATGATAGATGGTCCAGAAGAAAAACTCAGTGAAATAAGAGAATAATATTTATTCATGGCAATTAATTACGTTACTTGCCTAACTTAAGAAAACTAACTGCTGTGAATAACTCTCCGTTTGTGCTTAGCTCCATTTTACATGAGGTGACAGTCTGAGTCTAACTCTGGAATACGTTGGTTTATTTTTAGTGCTTGAAGATACATTTACAAATACTTGGTTTGGGAAGACACCGTTTAATTTTAAGTTAACTTGCATGCTGTAAATGTGTTTTATGTTTAAATAAAGAGGAAAAGTTTTCGAAAAAATAATTAAGTAAAAGGAATTAAAAATCAAAGGACAAAAATCTCTTAGTCTATAGAAATTAGTGAGAGAATGAGAAAAAGAACAGCAGTATTTGCTACTCTAATGGCAGCCATGACAATAATAACACTCTCAGTACACTGCTAATTGGAGGAAAAAGTTCACTTTTACCCTGACTTAGAGGAATAATAGTTTATTATTTTTACTTGGTAAGAAATTATTTTTAGTAAAATATCAGGTAAGAATAATAAAACAAGTCATTAAAATTAAAAATGATTATGTAAAAACCTCAAGGAAATGACAAATAAGGTAACAGAAATACAATATAAAAAACATTCAAATCGCTGATGTATACTCAATCAGATGTGAAAATTTGTCATGGGTATATGACTTCTTCTGTTGAGAATTATCGCCTAGAAGATTACTAGTAATTGTGAAAGAGAAAACATGTATTAAAATCAACGAATCTGACCATTGTTAGCATAACCAAATTTTTAAAACTAGCTTCCCCACAAGTGGAGCAATCTGAGATTGCATGCAGTCTAGTGTGGTGCGATTTGAAAAACACGGCATGATAAAAACATTTTCTCGCCCAAAAGGTTTAAGCTGATGTAATAAATCACTCACATCTAATGTCTAACTTACAGAAACCTTCAAAAACTGAGAAAAACAAGTTAACTGATATCAAAATACAACAATATAAAAGCAACTGAATTCTGGTTTAAAAGGAAGCACTACAAAAGACATTTTGATTCAGCAATGGAAAATTCAAATATGGACTGGATACCAAATGACATGGGGACACTAGAGATGATTTTCTTAGAGATAGTAATAGCACTCCAACTGGGAGAATATCTTCATTCCTGTGGCATGCTATGAGAGGTCTCTAGGGCTCCATTGTCATCTTTATAATTTGCCTTGAAAAGATTCTAGAAACATTATGTGTATTAATGCAGATGTACCCCATATGACAATGTGAAAATGTTAGTAATTGAGTAACTTTGAATATCAATGGTAACATGGGTATTCAGTATTATTTTTATCAAATTTTTGGAAAGTTTGAAAATTGCCATAATAAAAAATTGAGGAACTACTAATATTAGAAGCACATTAATTTCTCAACGCCTTTATTATCACAGCACTGTATTATTATACCAGATTCACAAATATACGTTATGTATTTCCATTGTAGATCTTTACTCATCGACTCTAAGTTTTAAAAAAGTAAAACGGAATAAAGAAGTCTAAGTTACTGGGAAAGGTGTAGTGACTTCAGTGTGTAACATTCGGGGGCATCAATTTGATCAAAGAGGCCAGGACTCAGGGCAAAGGTAGAATTCTCTCTAGGCTATGAAAGAACCATGCATAGAGTAGATATGTTTGAACAGCTGATGCATGACACACTCCAAAGAGAGCAGCGGACTCGGAGCACGTGCAGTCCTAGGTCAGCTCCATGTTCTGCTAAACGTTGCTCAGTGTTGATTTCACCCACTGTGAATGGGTATCTTCATAAACAGGTCATTTTCTCTTTCTACCATGGATGAACTTCATTGTCTGCAACTAATTTTTATTGTATCAATGCCCTTGGTCAAGAAAGCACAGATACCAAGAGGCACCGAGACATCTGAACCCCATGTAAACCCTAGTATCTCTCCTCCCTTATTCTCACTCTCTCCTCATGCACTGTTCAATCCATCTTTTCATGGCTTCATATCTGTGCACAGTCCCTCCAAATCACCTTTGCCAATCCACGCTGTGGTCATCTTTCATAGCTTAGGGGTAACTCCACCTTTACATGAATCTAATTGACAATCCTTTGCCTCCTTGGTAGAATTGACCTCCCCTAAATATAACACAATTCAGCATTAAAGTCACCCCATCTTTTTGCTAAGACTTTTCTAAGCAGGGTAGAAGTAAGGGCCCTCCATGCCCTAGACAGAGACTTTGCTTGCAAATCTTCTTCACAAAGATAAGTGGGACTGAATGAATGGATACTTGGCAATAGGACAGAAAGAGGAGCCTGAAGAACAGGAAGGAGAGGAGGCTGAGGGCGCTCACCTGGTTGCAGACGGGCTTGTACCTGAGCCCTGGCTTGTTGAGGATCATCTCCAGCTGCCTGCGGTTGAAATTGGACACCCCGATGGACTTGGCCAACCCTGCGTCCTTACACTTCTCCATGGCCTGGGGAGAAAGAGGTTGTGAGATATCATTTTCGCAGTTGACTGGAGATCAAGATAAATGTAAGACAGAACTGTGAAAGTAACAACTGTCAAGGTAATGAGAGTCACCCTAGCTAACGGCAGTTCTTAAAAGGGAAAAGCAAAACAGAAAAGTGGGCGAGAAGATAGTGAAAGCAAGAGCAAGAATTTCTGTTTCCTCCTTAGGAAACTGGAGAGATTAATGCACAGGGAAGGAAAGGGACCCCAGTCCTCCTGACCCCCAATTCTTCTTCTCCACATCTCTCTTTCATATTGCTGTGATTTGTTTTTCCTCATTGCTCACGAAAACTACCTCTGTAAAAATCCTAAGTTTTTGATTCAATGGTGCATTTTCCATTCTTTTACTTGGAAAATAGGAACCAGGTGTCTCCCATCTCATATTTCTTATCTGTGCTCTCACCTCCATGCACTCACCTCCCACGTGGCACAGAGATCCACTGTGTCAAGTAGTATTTTTCCATTTTCATCTTTTGGGATCAGCTCCTCCGATGGCTGAAGTAGAAGCAGTCAGTTTAGTGGTGTCACAAATCAATTTCTCCACACATAGCTGTGCTCTCAGGTACATTTAAGGACCTGAATCTTCCATGACGTAGGGGATACAATGCTCCAATATGTGTTACATATGAAGGCATAAGGAGACAGGCTTCCTCTAATCTCTTACAACTATTGTATGTATAAATAAATACCATCTTTCTGGTTCCTAATGGAGTGTCCTCATTGACTTCCATTACTTTTTTCTGCTATAATTTTCTCTGTGAGAATGTGTCCCTTCAAAAGACCTTGATATCTTGGAACAATGGATTCTACTTTTGACCCGGGTGCCATATCAGAGTTCTTTATCTCCCTGAACACGTGATGTTCTGTGGACAGGACCATGAACCCGTCATGGTCAATGAAGGTGCTTTTCAAGGCACTTTGGAAGTTGGGAGACCCACAGAAGTTTTCTTACGGTAATAAGTATGAGCGTTAAAGTGCTCCAACGCTGTAATTGCCACCAATTGAAAAGGTTGGAACAAATATTTGAAGAAAAAAAAACCCTTTTGTAATAAGGCAGAGATAAGGATGGAGAAAGTATGCATTTCTAGAGATTTTATTAAGTTCTTAAATGTCTCCACGGCTTTGACTTCCCATTTTCACATCTAATACACTCTTGCATTAAATACCCTGAGTAGTTTTCTGTAACTTTAAATCAAAAGTTATGAATGATACAAGAATTCCTGGCTAAACAAAGATAAAAACTCCAGTGTGAAAAGAGAGGAAGCAGAAGCAACAAGGTTTCCCGAGTCTACACGAAGGTCTGTAGTTTAAAACCCACCCAGACTGAGTTCCTCCATATCCACTTCCCCTTGAAAACAGGCGAGAAGATGGAACCTCATTGTGCACCATATGTACAGCAGCTTTCCTGGACACCACCGCTTCATGAAACTGTGTCTGCGAACATCCCAAGAGGCGAACTCAGGAGTCCTAACTAAGACCTTTGCCTTCAAGGAGACAACTGTCATTTCCTCAAGTCTTTGAGGCAGGTTTCTGCCCTCTCTTCTCTTGTAGACATGCATCAGAGGAGCAAGGATTTAAAATGTAGTCAATAGAAAGGGAATTAGGAGTTACATTTACGGTTCTCCTTCCATGTTACAATCACTATGTCCTCCTAAGAAAAAGCTTAGTTCAAATATCCATGAAAACAGTATTTGTGCTGACAACAGATGTGAAATTAATTTGATCACACAAGCTGCCTACCTTTAGAGACACTGGGAAATGGATAAGATAGAGGTCAACATAGTCCAGCTGAAGTTTTCTCAGGGACCTTTCCAAGGCGGGTCGGACCAACTCTGGCCGATGGGAAGTGCACCAAAGCTGCAGAGGATAGAGAAAGGGAGTTGTGTTGAATGAACACTTGACCCCATTTTTCTAGTTTGCTCCACTGAATATTTAGACGTTTTCCACTGCTTCAAAACTGATGACCACAGGCAAAATTATTCTGTTTCTTCTTGTTATACCTTGTGAACACTTGGAAGATGAGAAAGTCATCTTCACTTCCTACCTTTGATTTTGGAAATATCATAATATGATTAATGTTTTCTGTGATTCTATAGTCTATGTTAAACTATATTGATCTGTGCTGAATTCAAGAAAGTAAAGAGACCTGAAGTCATAAATTTGAACAAGGCAAAGATGAGAAAGTCATATGAGAATATTTTGTTCTGTCATATCCTAGTGAACTTTATTGTATGTTGAATATATTGAATGACAGAATGAAATACTCAAAAGGTAAAAGTTGTTATCAAATAACAAGCATACCCATTATCTGAATTATTTTTGGTGTGTTTTACAATTCATTTTAATAGTGTAATTCTTTCATCCATTCAGCCCAATGGGCAAGAATAAGTATCTTTGGGGTTTAGAAACTGCAGAGGCAAAGACAGTTTTTAATATGCTAACTTGTGTCCAGAGGCTGGACGCAATTTAAGACAATGTAGATATCATTATTTAATACTCACAGAGCTCACATATATTTCTTTCTCTCTCTCTCTCTAATCCAGATGACAATGGAAACTTAGAATCATAACAAATATAAGAAATTTACCCAAGAGGTAAGAAATATCATAATATGATTAATGTTTTCTGTGATTCTATAGTCCATGTTAAACTATATTGATCTGTGCTGAATTCAAGAAAGTAAAGGGACCTGAAGTCATAAATTTGAACAAGGCAAAGATGAGAAAGTTATCTTCATTTCCTGCCTTTAAATACATGAATATTTGTAAATAAATTGAAATGAATAAACACAATTCACCCACGACTATGGATCCATTCATAGAATTGCCACCTCCACACAATCACAATAAATACATCTGCATACATGCTTATCATAGGCACAGTACCTTTGAAGTGTAGAATATGTCATCTCTCTTCACACTGCCATCTGCAATCTTGTTTCGGATAGCCAGTCCAACATGCTCTTCATTATTGTAACAATGTGCAGAATCAATGTGGCGGAACCCAGCTTCTATTGCCCATTTGGTGGCCTCTGCAGCTTTACTTTTAGGAACCTGGGGGAACGATCAAAGGTAGTATTTTCTGATAAGCCTATCGCAGTCTGCCTGGGTCTTTCCCAGTTAGGAATCAGGATTAAGCAACCCAGAAAAATCACCGGTTGACCAATGGCTTGGAGGTCTCCCCATAACACTTATAGGTTCAGTGATTTTTTTTTGGAAAAATTAACAGGACTCAAGCTATAATTAAAGATATAATTTTAATTATTTTTAGTATAGTGAAATTAACACGGGGAAATAGGCAGAAGGAAGGAACTATGAAGGAATGCAGCGGAAGCTCCGGTGATTCCTCTCCTGGGATGTTGCACAGAACGCACTGACTTCCTCCAGCATCACATTTTGACAATGTATGTGACATGTTGTCTACAAGAGATGCTCTCTACATACCCCATTCCTAAGATTTTGACTGGGACTGGCTGGATTGATTCACTCTGCCTAGCAGACACAAAACTTCCCGTCTCCCAAAGGAAAGCAGGTGCACAGAAACCCCACAGTTTGCACAAGCAGTTACAGCCATCATCCTTATCAGTTAGGAAACAGTGAGAAATCCACCTTCTCAGATACCAGCCAGATTTATACTGGAAATAGGCACATCTATGGATAGCAGTCTATTAAGACTTTTCTACACAGCCATTAGCCATTATGTCTGCATGACAGAACTAAATACTAGGAGGAATGATGTATACTCTAAGGATGTTGATTTGTATGTATAAGAAATCGACTGCAAGAAGTCAGTTATTAGCAAAATGGGTTTCAGCTCCATAAATTAAAGACAACTCTTTTAGGAAAAATACGATGGCAGTGAAATGTACAGTTTCTGACTTCAGTAAAAATTTAAATACTGATTTGAAAGCGTATCTTTTAAACGACAAAAACTGAAACAAAACTATTTTCTCATCTGAAAAGTATTTCAGAGGCTTTCTTTTTTCCATGAAATTACAAGGAACTAGGTAGTGGTCTCACAGCCCTCTGCTCATACCATCCTCGATCTTTCCTCTGCTGTGGGAGCTCTCAAAGGCTTACCAGGGCTGGAGCTTCAGTGCTGTCCTCATCTTTACTTCCTCTGTGCCAATACATATTACAACATTAACCACTCCTGTTAGTGGTCTTCAAGATGTCCCTTTGTAAATCCTTATATCTTATAGATGAGAAATGTGAGACTCAAATTTTATGTAACTAGTCCGTATTCACATACATTGTATTCTCAAGACAGTATTGAGATACAAGTTTTCTTCCAGTGTAAAATAGCTAAGTCTAGAAAATAAAATCCATTCCATTAATTTTCTTGTCAGAGAAACCAGAAAATTCTCTGTTACAGTATTTTGATACAAATGTGACCCATATTAACAAAGACAAAGTATTTAAACTTTTCTTGTTAGGTTCTAGTTTTTTTTTTTTTTTCCATAAAAACAGGATATTTTATCCTTTCAGGTAATTTTCCCAGAGCTGAGAGTAGCACATGGGAGACTCCCGTTAGTCCAGGTCCAGTGTTACTGTGTGGTGCCCAAGGCCGCCCATCAGAACCGTGATACTCTCCCCACAGACTTCATGCACCCCGTCTCCACTAACTTTTGCCATAGAGATTCCTCTGAATGGTGTCTTCTTAGAAGAAGTAAATATCTCTTAGACTATACAAAGAAACAGAGAAACCACTCCCATTGCATGCAATCAATCTTCAAGAGAGGGAGCAGGCAGGCAGTGTTTATCCTGCTGAGTTTTACAGACTCTGACAAGCTGTGAAATAAACATAAACAGAAGACAAAACAGTGCCCCAGATAAGCAGTAGACGATCCTGTGACCAGACTGCAAAGCAGAACAAAGACTGACATTTTCTCTTCGTGCAAAGAGTACCACCCTAACCTAGGGACACAGACCAGGGGATTTATGCAGAGTAATGTAGGAACACAAACCTGACGACACAAACCCGGTCAGCTGCCACTTATTCTAGCTTTGCTCCTTTGAATTCCTAACCCTAAAAACATTATTGTTACCTCTGCAGGTGCATAGGTGCCAAATCCCAGGACAGGCATGAAGTGACCATCATTCAGCTTCATACACCGATGTTTCGAATCCATTTCTGGCACCGGCCTGGCTGGCAAATGTTTCTTTCTCCCTCCTTCTCTCCGTCACAGGCTATTAGAGCAATGAGCTGGCAACGCCCCTGGTCACACTGTCTGCTGCTTAACCAATGGCATGTGAGATGGGGTACAGAGGCAGTTTTTCACAAGCTGTGATAAAAACTGAATTCGGTTCAACCGTTTCTCATCTAAGAAAATTCATAAGTAAATTATGATATAGTCATGATACACTCATTAATTTCTCTCTGAAGAATTTTTGCTATTCCAAATCTCTATATACGACATAAATTATTCAAAGAGATTTGTAGAACAAATTGTGACCTTACATAAGACTATTGAAATCTCCAGCTACAAAGCCTTTTTTGTTTGTACTATAATACAGGACTCAACCTATAATTAAAGATATAATCTTAGTTATTTTTAGTATAGTGAAATTAACATGGGGAAATAGGCAGAAGGAAGGAACTTTGAAGGAATGCAGCGGAGGCGCCTGTGATTCCTCTCCTGGGATGTTGCACAGAACGCACTGACTTCCTCCAGCATCACGTTTTGACAATGTATGTCAAATAATATTCCTTCTGTGTCTTGCAGCATTTGAAATGACTAATTTTCATTGTTCTCTCTCTCACAGCCACAGTTTAAAGGAATGACTACTGAGCATTTCTTTAAAATATTGCCCTCGGTAAAAACTTAAAGTTAAAATGTTAAAAAGACATTACTTTTTTCATCAGCAAATTTACTGTTTCTTTCTTCTTAACCTTATAAGAGAAATATGCCTTCCTGATGAAGGTGCAGTCCTGGTAAAGTTGCACTCCTGATGTGGGTGTAAATAAAAAAGGAAAAATGATAAAACTTCACTGGAGAATTACTTATTAACAGCTTTTGGACTTTGGATATAATTTGTAATATGCAAACAGTGCCTTATCTTTTTGTCTTTTCCAGCCAGTTTTAGGAGAGACTACCAAAAAGTAACAAGCCAAAAACCTGGTAACTATTATACATATTTCATAATATGTTATATGTTAACCATTATTCATGTAAAAGAAAAACTGATACCTGATTATATATAAACAGGTGAATAATCCTCATGTGGGATAATTTTTATTTTATTCTCCCTTGAACGGCAGGTTAGAACACGATTGTCATTTGCATCATTCATGATTGAGTGTCTTGGAGTAGTCACAATTGCAGTGCCCTGGTTGCTTCTATTTGCTTTGTCAAGAAACAAACAGAAGTTGAATAATAGGTACATTGTTAGACATTGACATCAATGTAATATTATAAAGACATTGAAATTTTTCAGAGAGAGTAATTTCAACAAGATGGTGGATTGTAAGATTCCCGGATGACTCATGGAAGCATCAGAAAATATCTAAAATTGACTGTAATAAATTGTCTTATTTGTTCATGGAGCAGCTCAGTAGAGATTCGGGGTGACTACACACATGCAGTTGTTATAGGGGAGATTTTAGGGGAAGAGGCATGCGGTATTCCATCTAAGCCACTGAGGAGGAACTGGGATGCGGAATTTTCTAATAATAAGCAATTCAAAAGCCATTGGTTACTTCAGGAAAAGTACAAGGGCACACGCAGTCCACAAAGGTGCATGTTCGGAAGCAAACTGAGCAGGGCTTAAGGTTTTATGTAGGGCTGATGCCTTGACTGAGAACATGCCACATGTATTAGTCGATGGCTGTCATGATGCAGAACAAATCTGTATATGGTAAAAAAAGATGTTTATTTTTTCAAATGCCCAATTAAAGAAAAACAAGGCATACAAAGAAACAGGAAGTCACAGTCCACCAGGAGAAAGAAAATAAATTACTAGAAATTGTTCTCTAAAGAATCACAGGCATTAAAATTAGTAGAGAAGCTTTTAAACAGTTGTCTTAAATATGCTAAAATTGCTAGTGAAAAATATAAACTACAAACAACAGAAAATCTAAAAAAATAAGAAATTCACAACATAATAGTACCACGGAAATTATAAAAAAGAAAATAAAAGCTTGGGATATAGAAAGCTGTCACACTAGCCTTCTGCCTTTGAGATAAGGCAGAGGTTCCCTGGAGGTAATTAACATTCAATGTGTCTGCAGATGAAAAAGCTGTAAGAGCTTTGTAACACAGGGGTTTGCAGGCAGTCACCCCGAGACACTACCATGGAGCTGGAGCCCAAAGTGCTGACCCCGGCGTGCGCACCTGCCCATCTGCATGCTCTCCTTCCCTGAAGGAGTTTGAACGGGCTAGCCCCGCCCCTGCCACAGTCCTGCAGGGACACCCAGATTTGTATGTGAAACGAGAATTTCCTGTGCAGTGAAAATCAGAGAGCAAGAGGCTTCGTTAGTATAAAATGTGTTAAAGGTTCATAGACAAAGTAGTCACAAGCACTTCCTTGTCGGTATTCGTTATAACATGTAAGCAGTTCCCTGAGGCATAAGCTAGGTTTGAGTAGAAACGTTTAGTTGTTGAGAATGCAAAGAACAGAAATGCTGGAGTTCTCTGTATGTACAACGAAAACTGATGTCCACAAATCCTGAAAGAAATTGTAAACCAAGGAAATAAAGGGACTATATCTAGAAGGGGACGTATGATAGGGTATAAATGATATCAGCTTTAAGGAACATGTTTTTATTTCTTTATGTCTGAGATGAAATCCAAATTTTTCAGGACCTAGAGGAGCTTTAAGGAACGGGTTCTTCCTTTTTTTTTTTTCTTTTCTTTTGAGACGGAGTTTCACTGCTGTTACCCAGGCTGGAGTGCAATGGCACTATCTCGGCTCACTGCAACCTCTGCCTCCTGGGTTCAGGCAATTCTCCTGCCTCAGCCTCCCGAGTAGCTGGGATTACAGGCGCGGCGCCACCACGCCCAGCTAATTTGTTGTATTTTTAGTAGAGATGGGGTTTCACCATGTTGACCAGGATGGTCTCGATCTCTTGAGCTCGTGATCCACCCGCCTCGGCCTCCCAAAGTGCTGGGATTACAGGCTTGAGCCACCGGGCCCAGCGGGTTTTTTATTTCTTTATGTCTGAGATGAAATTTAGATTAAGGGGTGCTGACACCAGAGGATGAGTGGAGTAGAATTTATTAAGCAAGAGGAGAGCTCTCAGCAGAGAGGTGTCCTGAAGAGCGGGTTAACCCTAACCCTAACCCTGTTTTTCCTATTGTATTATGTGAAAGGAACGCTCATCTACACAGATGACACCAACCCAGATACATGCAAACATGATTAAGCAGGAAGTGTGTGAAGAGTAAACAGTCAGAGAAGGCCCCGGTGGGCTAAGAGCTCACCTGGTTGCAGGTGGGCTTGCACCTGAGTCCTGGCTTGTTGAGGATCAGTACCAGCAGTTTGTGATTGAAACTGGACACCCCGATGGACTTGGTTAAGACCGCGTCTCTGTACTTCCCAGGGCCTGGGGAAGAAGGAAATAGGCGTAGATCTGTAATGTAGCTTGGCTTTGTCATCTGTCATTAAACCTTTTCTTTAATGTGGTAAAATGTACATAACATACAATTCATCATTTAACCATTTTAAAACACAGATTACTGGCATTAAGTCCATTCACCTTACTGAGCAAGCATCACCAGTAGTATACATCTAATACAATTTTAACCATCCCGAGCTAAAACTCTACTCATTAAACAACTCCCCATGTCCCTCTTATTTCATCCTCTGGCAACAGCCATTCTACTTCCTGTCTCTGCATTTAATTATTCCAGGCGCCTCACATAGTTGGAATCATACAGTATTTGTCCTTTTGTGTCTGGCTTAATTAGGTTAGCAAAATGTCCTCAAGGTTCAACCATATTATTGCATGTGTCTGAACTCCCTTCCTCTTTAAAGCTAAATAATGTTCCATGGTGTGTATACACTGTGCTCTGTGTACCCTTTCATTTGCTGTTTCTCACCTGCATCGCTCTCACCTTTTGATTACTGTGAATAAGGTTATTATGAATAACGTTATTGTGGATAACGATGCTTCGAAAATATCTGTTTTAGTTTTTACTTTTAATTTCTTTAGGTATTATGAGCCCCCAATATCTGAGACATGTCCCCGTCAATGTAGAGAGTTTGTTTTCCCAGAGCAAAATTTCCCTCCTGTTGTCCTGGCTGTCCTCTGCTATGGTGATTGAGCTCCTTTTCAGCACAAAAGTGGCAATGTTGTGTTATACTTTCCAGGTGAGCCTTCAGGTCCTTTCCTTTGATATATATTTGCATTAAAGTTAACAAGCCCTCCATCCAAAATGCACGCTATCATGAGTATATTTTGGCACTGGGTGAACAAGGCCATCATCGTTTACTTTTCAACCTTTTTTATCTTGAATAAATCTTCTGTCCTTGGCAGCCTTTTTACCCTCAAGACTATACTGGGATTTGAAAGGTGGCGGATCTACTTGGGGACTCAAAGGTGCCTGGACCCCAGCACTGCTGTCGGCCGGGAGCCTGACTGTGCAGTCAGTGAAAGCATTCCCTCTAGCTGGCTTGAAATCACTGTGCTGGTGGCCTGGACAGTGCATTGCAACTGTTTCCCTTGGGGTTTTCTCTACCTCCAATAGCTCCAACAAGGCTTTGCATATTTAACTGCAGTATTATCTGCCTTTAACAGTCCCCTTTCTTTCCAAATAGCTCCATATGCGTGTACTATCATAAGGGAATATTTGGCATCAGTTTAGACGCCGGCGCTTTTACCTTGGGTCAGTTGCAAGGTTCTGGTAAGGGCAATTGACTCGGACATTTGCACAGAAGTCTGTGATGGGAGAGTTCTCGCGGCTGTTACCTCCGAGAGAGTCACTATAGCCTGGGCAGCATTCCTCCTTCTGTTGGCAACCAGGCTGCTTCTGTCAACAAAGATCATCCAGTCTGCACCCTGGAGGGCTGTGTCCTTCAGATGGGGGCGATTGGAAGACTCTCAACCCATGACCGCTAGCTGGTTGTGTACTAGTTCCTTTGGTTGCCCAGTAGGTGTCAACCAAGTGTCAGGGTTTAAGGCCCCAGTGGCCTGTAGTTTACTTTGAGGTCATTGAGCAGGATAGCCTGATGCTGGCTTAGTCTGCCCACCATCAGCAAGTAGCCATCCCTCCGCTCCCCAGGACTTGGTATGGCGCATAAATCATGATGGGCTCAACTAAAGTTAGCTTCTTAGCTTAGCTTCCTTGAGCAACAGGTGGATGGAAGGTACTGCCCTGAGGACAAGGAGGCCAGTCCCTTATCACTGAATCAAGCTGTTTTGAAAAATAAGCCACTGGTTGCAATATTTCTCCTGGTTTTTGCTTTAAGGCCCCAAATGCTACCCCAGTCTCTCATGCACATTAAGTTGGAAGGGTTTCTCTGGCAGTCCCAAAGCTGGGGCAGATGTTAACTTACACTTTAGTTGTCCAAATGCAGTCTGGTGTTTTACTTCCCATTCAAAAGGGTCATGGTTGGCTTCTTTTAACAATTTATATAGTGGCTTTACCGTCAGTGCCTAATTGAGAATCCGAATTCTATAGAACCCTGCCATTCTTGGGAAGCCCCTCAGCTACTTTCCGGTTGTGGGCACTGCGGCAGAGACAACTGCATTTCACCTCTCCTCTGCCAGGGCTATGGTTCCTATCTGTAATAGAAGTCTTAAGTGTTCTACAGTTTCTTTGCATGTGCATGCCGTTTTGCTCAAGACTTTGTCCCCACAGGCTGCCACATGGTTCCAAGTCTGTCAAGAGTGTTATCTTGACACTCTTGCTGAGGGGCTGAAGATTAGCAGATCATTACCACTAAGGGAATGCAGCGGTACTCCATTTCCCAACCGCAAGTCTCTTAGATCCCAAGCCACTGCTTCCCCCAGTGTTTTCCAACCCTTGAGGAAGCACTGTCCAACGATACTGAAATCGTGCAAGCTGTTTCAGGGTCTGTCCACTCAAAAGAGAACAATAATTGATTTCCTGCAGCCACCGGTATGCAAAGAAAGTGTCTTTTAAATCTAACACTGCAGACCATTCATGGACTCTGGGCAGGGAGGTAAACACAGTATATGGATTGGTCATAGTGGTGATGTCTTCCGCAATGTCGCCCTCAGATCTGGCATGAACCTGTACTTGTGCATGTGACGCTTCTTTGCTGGCAGATGGCCGTGTCAAAAGAACTGAACCAACACTGGCTGGAGGCCTTCTAGGACCTCTTTCTTTAGGGGTACTCTTTCTTTTGAACATTCCTTTAACCTGACTTTTATAGGATCCACGTTGCTTGTCCTCCCCAGTTAGTCAGATGCCCACACCTCTGGCTTTACCTTAGTGAGGACTTCTGGTGGAGTCATCTCTACTTTAAGGAATCTCTGATTTCATCAGGGGGGGCTGTAGCTGCAATCTGGGTTCTGGGGGTAGCTGGAGGCACATGTAACATTTCTCTGGGCCAAAGACAATTAATTCCTATAACTTATGCAAGAGATCCCTACCAAGCACGGAGGTTGGGCAGTCCCACACTTAAAAGAATTGATGAGCTATTATTAATAACTCATTGCCCACCTTGCAGGAAAAGGGGCACAACCCACCCCCTGATTTTAGCTCTCCATTCACCCCAACCATATTGACAGAGGTCTCGGAAAGTCCAGTAATTGGGACATCAATCACCAAATAAGTGTCACCCGTATCAACTGAGAAGTTTAATATTTGTTTCCCCACTGTCAATCTTACCGGAAGCTTCTAGGGAAATCCTAATGCTGGATAGGGTTGGAGCCTTTGGGAGCCTTGGACACCCTTGATCCTCCTCGAATTTTTTCTGGGCTTAACAGCCATAAGTGACTTGGGCTCCCCCTAACTCAGCTTGGGGCAGTCTTCCTTCCAATGCCCTGTTAGCCTGTGGTAAGTCCATTGATCTTTTTCTCCTTTCCCTTTCCATCTCGGGGGTTCCTTTCTCTTCAGGTTTCCTCCCATGGCAGCTGTGAGTATCACTGCCTGCAGTAGTGCCTTAGATTCCTTGGCTTCCCTGCTATTATAGGTCTTGAACACAATTATTTAAGAAGTATTCATTCCGATGGCCTCTTCCAGCTTTTGTAACTTCTTTCTGATATCTGGGGCATTTTGCTCTATGAAAGATTTCATGTTTGCCATTCCAACATTTTCAAGGTGCTGCAGGTCTAAGTCTGTCCACTTTCTGTATGTTTGACAGATCTGTTCCATGACCTCCTAACAAGGAGGGAATCCTTGGTAGGCTTCTGCTGAAGCTCCTGCACTTTGTTCAGACTTTTAGATCGTGGCATCCTGACCTATCACCCTTTAGAATCTGCCAGACAATTCACCCTGGCTCCAGCCACCTCACGTGGTCCCAATTTGGGTCAGCATGCAGAATCTCATCAGGGTCTGGGGTGTCATTGGGGCTTTCACCATGAAGGCACCATGCTTCCTCCACTGCTTTGCCTAATACTAGCTTTTTATTCTCTGCAGCAAGATCATATTTAGGAGGGCTTGCACATTAACCTAAGTAGAATGATGGGTGGCAAAAATAGGGGTAAACAATTCAGTCGTCTTCTGGGGATCTTCCTGTAGAAAGGATTAGAAGTTTCCAATTCAGTAAATCAGATGTGGGGACAGGACTATATGCCCAATAATAACCAGCTGAAGTCCCTTGCTGATTAATTCCCACGGGATATTGTCAGAGGGGAAATTGTCCTGCCCCAGCTCGGTAGCTCTTCTCTCCAGCTGAAATTAATGCCTTGCCTAGGTTAGGAGGGAGAGACTGTTTGCAGCGTCTTCGTGGTGGTTCCTCCTCCTCTTGACCATCTTCTACTGGGGTAAGCACATTTAACAACTGCTGACTCTCTAGCTCCTTCTGTTTCTCTCTGTGGAAGTCAGGACAAACTTTTTCCAAGTGCTGCACCATTAGCTTATTCCCGTGAACCTCTTGGTTACTTAGCAGCATGGATGCCTGAAAATCGAGAACCTCCTCCCATTTCCCTGAACACTGACAAAATAGTTCTAACCGAAAGATGGTCAAACAGTTTAAAGATCCAAAAACTGGCCACCATTCTTTATATCCTCATGTCAGGGCAGGGGCTCAACTTCCATTAGCTCCCGTTAGCAAACCCAGAGGGACTAATCATGCTGGCCAACCGGCCCCTTCCTGCTTTTTGTGATTTTCCACTTTGCTGATTCCAATCAGTCCCTGCTGAGCCTTTCCCTCTCACCCATTCTCCCTTTAAAATGCTGAGTCACTTTGTGTGAATCAAAGTTCATTTCAGTCCACACTGGACCTCTTCCCTATTACGACACTGCATTACTAATAAGATCCATCCTCACCATTTCAATCCGTGTCCAACTTTGTTTATCTTTGACTTTAGCAATAGCAGAATTTTTTTTGGGGGGGGGTCCTTCATAGTTAATAGCTACAGACAGGTGAGAATGAAGGCTAATATGACACTTGCCTCTGGGTTCTAGTACTACT